CTTTCTTTTTTTCATTCATCACATTTTCAAATGTGCAACGGCACGTTGATTCTTTTTTTTTTTTTTAAAAGAAGGGATTTTTACGCTTCCTCTTCTGCAGTATTATTCCTTCATTTTCAAGTCACATGAACCATCAAAAAATATCTATTTTTTTTCTTCTTCTAGAGCTAGTTAGATCTGTGTGTGTCCATCATAAATAAATAATAGACACGAGCGAACATTACATCGTTGCGATAGTCAGAAAACAAAGAAAACGTTCTATTTTTTTTGTCTTATTTGTCAAATTATCATAATCATTCACAATTCTTATTACTTACCGATAATATTTTTTGTTGTCTAAATCAACATGAACAAAAACTAGAATCTATTCGCATGTCGTCTATTTTATCTCTCTATGTGGTTCGTTGATATCGATAATTGGACGGTGAAACTTGCTTATATTTTATGTGCGGTAAGTTCAGTTTTTCAAAGTAAATCTCTTAGTACAATTAGTGAGTTGGAAGATGAATTATTACGAAGTTTTTGACACTATAACTGAGTACGTTCATTACACTCGATTACATTCGCCTATTTGGTTTTAACTGAAAGTTTTCATACGTTACATGCCTACAGGATCCATAAATCATTTTAAATGATTTCCCGATGTATTTTTTTAATCTTATTTTGCGTAATCTCTTTATATAATATACCTGCATCGAAAGAGTATTGTTGTAATTGATTTAGAATAGAGTATTTAAAGAAAGGGAGATATTAAATTGAGACATCTAGAAAAAAAGGACTCTTTTCTTACTCTCCACAGAGACGCTCAATTCTTTGTCCTATGACATTGTACTAACCACATTGTTCGTACAAAACTTTGTTGATGTTCTCTTCGCTCTTTTCTAAGTGCGGACATGTTAAATGAATAATTTCAAAAAAGAATTTAATTTATAAACTTTTTTTCTTCTTATTTACAAAGTTCAATTAGGCGTGACATCTAGAGTAGTTGAAGGGTGATGAGGATGATTACCTATGTTACTACTCTACTCTTTATTAGTTGATATCGATCACATACACGTATATCTCTAGATACATAGTACATGTGGCACATAACTGTAGGCATACGGTTCATTGATTCGTTTTATAACTTAATTTATCATATGCTGATATTTGTCAAATATACCAGTAATATCAAACAGAGTTATGCCGCAAACTTTTTCTTTTGTAAAAACATATATTTGCCTTTATTATTCCTCTTTCATAATTAAACTTGTTTGTATTATTTTACTTAATTGATACACACTCATCAGTCTCTATATTTTACTATTAAAGTTTAGTATTTGAATAAAATACGTCTGAAATGAGTTTGAATTGAAAAAATATCGTTAGTTATTGTTAATTTTTACATTAGACTACAAAAAGGTCAAAAAGTAATTGTGGCGTTTAATTGGTGCACTAACAGAGTGAGAAGTCAGTTGATACGCTTCACGATATTTGCGAATCTCTATGTTGTATTACATAAACTACCCAATATCGACACTTTTGATTATTTTCTGTATAAAGAAGAAATGTGTTCACAACGCATACTTTTAAACGACAGTAGGACATCAGGATGATTATGTACAAATTGTTCGAAACATGCATACAATCACGTTTCTATATGTAGATTGTAACCAATCGTGACACATAGGAGAGCATCAATATCGATTGCAACATTAGAGAATGCCAGAAATTTGAAAATTTGAAGATTTTAGACGGACTATCTCTTTTCTCTAAAATTTCATTTGTTCAGATCGAACCAGATCGTTTCGCCTATCTTTGCTGTAGTAAATAAATATGAAGAACTAGTGGAAGGTAGTGATTATACACATTAAATTAACGAAAATTATTTTTGACTCTTACTGTATGTAACAATGTAGTTGATTTTTTATTCACGAGTGTGAAGAGGTTGTTTATGCATCCTTGAAGTAAGAAAATATCTGTTTCTTTCTGAAAACTATCTTTTCGTATCCGTTTAATCTTTTTAAGGAAATTAATGTTTCTCTGATCTTTTTCCAAACAGTAGCTATTGACTTTTTCAGATCGTTTATTTTATTTGATTAACCGTTTTAGTATGTAAAATAGAAAGTAGTTCACACAGCTCTTATATCCACGAAGATATTGCTTTACAACATATTCATATGTATAGTTTAAAATGTTTTTTACATGTGCTAAAAACACTACGTCTGCATTTGTTTTCTCTTTATTTTTGACAACTAAATGAGCATAGATATTTAACAAAATCATTTTCTTCAAATAGAATGTCAATCTACTTTACAAAAACAACGATGAAATGAATCTTTATTTTCAACAATACTATATACAATAAATAGATAAGAGCGATTTCACTTTTATGATTTATCATTCGTCATCTCTAGCCTATAATGTGATTCATCTTTAATCATTTGTATTACATTATTACGAAAGAAAAGAGAGAAGAAGAGAATGGCATGTATCGTTTGCTTTTAGTGTGTATATTTGTATAGCAATACATTTTCTTCTCTTATACAAATGTTAGATCCGCATCTAGACACTGCTGATGACAATACAGCTGTCATTGTTCTACTTCCTTTTTGTCATGAAGTAAAAAAGCAGAAAATAACCGAGATCGAGGTAAGCGAACTAAATAATCACATGTTTTCACTTTTTTTCTACAATATGCTATGCTTTTTAATTCTCTTGATTGTCTGACTAAATTAATCTTGAATATTTTCCAGCATTTTATTTTGCAAAAAACTGTAAAAAGGACTTTTTAAACTACAGCTTTATTAGATGAATACTGGCTATCTACTCAATAAACGGCTGTGTATTTTGTAACGTGATCACAGACATGATTAATGTTTGTTGACTGTTCAAGATTATAAAGTACTCAATTGGTCTTTTAAAATACTTACTCAACATTTCTTTTCATTTTTACTTTGTCGACGTGCAAGCAACAATTATCATTAATCGTTCATTTTCTTTCTCTCTCTCTCTTCTTTCTAATATATCGTCAAGAAATATCCAGAAGGCATATTAAATATGATTGCCCTCTTGCTATTATTTTATTGTACAAATTATTCGTTGCTTTGTTTGTCACGCTAACTACTACAGTTCCTATTCTTTCTTTTGTTGTCCCATTGTCTCATTATCATCATTATAATAAATTGAATGAATACTACCGACAAAGAAGCTCAAATTTTTTTAAATTCAATCGTTTTTTACTTCTGTTTGTGTCTTTAGTTGAACTATTATAGGAGACACATTTTGATGGTGTATATATATGCACATATGTACGTGCGTTGTTGCTTTTCGTGCAAAAAGCTAATTCATAACAGGTGTAAATGCATTAGTTGAAAATTTGTATATGCCATTAGACACCTATAGAAATCATTATTTTTCTTGATTATAATACTAATTTATTTTAGCTACTGGGCATTTATGTCTCATTAGAACAGGAAGAAGAATGTTAATAGGCATGACTCTGTCCATATCATAAACATTTTTTTTACCATTGTCTTATTTACTCAGAATATTAGCTAGCGACTTACTATTCTGTTTTAACTTATCGTGACTATATGGTACAATGATCCATATGATCGTTTTTGTTGATAATATTATAAATTTTAGCATATAGTTAGTACTAGGATTCGTGAGAACTAAACAGAAGATTAAGGCAATTGCATGTTTTATCAACTATTACATTTGAGATTCAACACATCATTTATCTATAGTTGAACCTAAACGATCTTGTTTTAATTATATACACGATGTGATTTTATTTTTTTCTTCCAAATGTCTCTTCTTTTTAAAATATTTTGAAGATAAATCTAGTAAAAAAAATTTCTCATCTATTGTTCTCCTTTTCGTTACTTTGTTTCAACGGAAGGAGACATCAAAATAACAAAATAAAATAAAATTTTCATATGACAGATGTATTATCAATTTTTTTTGTTTTTTTTTCTTTTTACGTTATTATTAATAGAGAACTATTAATGTTGAAGATATTTTACAATGATTTCATTTCGTTATCTATGTACTCTAAGGATTACATCCAGATTGATGAAGATTGATCAGGAATCTAAAATAAAAAAAGGAAAGAATGTTTACTCAGTTGACATAGCAAATGTTTTTCATGGAGATTTTTGTCGACCACATGTTGTGAAAGTTGAATGTTCACAATTGACTTTCTTTTTCTATGTAGCTAGATTTAAACATACAATGTTGATTGTTACTATTTCATTTCTCGAGTATGTCGACCTTTGTAGGATCAAAAATAGCTTAAAAATACAGTGATTAGTGAAAATTACATTTTCGTTCAAAATATAAACGTATTGTCAAAAAAAAAAAAAAAATCACCACATTGACACTATTCGTATCGGAGAGAATTCAAAATCGTATCTGATGGTTAAAAAAATTAGTAACAAATCTTGGAGAAAAACATATTTTAACCTAGTTCAATAGCTATTTTACTTTATTTATTAAGACATGCATTTTTTAAATATTATTTGTAGGATGCACTAAATAATCCTGAACGATCATCGTATGGCTATTCATTAGATAATCATCACAGTTTTGATTCGGACTCTGATCTAGAAGATTTTAATTATGTACTCAATGAAACCGAAAAACAATTAACAAAAGCAAGACAAAGTTTAGAAAAACGAAAATTAACAGTTACATCATACATAAATGAAAATAATTTGAAAAAATATGTAAGTATAGATTATCTAATCTTCTAATTCTATCTAATTATGTTTATTTTTATTTATTTATTTATTTTTTATTTTTTTGTTTTTCAAGGATGAAGTATTACGTACATGTGAAACAAATATTCAATGTCTACAAAATATTTTAAAAAATATTCATCATAGTAAAATATTGAACAGTACAGAAGCCGTTGAAAAATTAAACGGTATGTATTTGAATGAGAGAAAATAGATATGAGTAACAAATAATCTCCTCATTTTTCTCTTCTCTTTTAAAGTGATAATTTACATCTATAACTTGAATTTAATTACATGGGAAAAAAAAAGAAAGAAGCGGACGTTTTTGTTATGATTGAGATTTTCAATAAAATAAATGAAATAATAATGAGAAAAAGCATAAATTTTGACCTTAATAAATTACAAAAGAAAAAAAGAAAAAGAAAAAAGACAAGAGGAAATTGGTATACTTTACTTAATCATTAATCATATGTGATTGAGCTTAACACTAATAGCTAAACCGTATTAACTGAAAGTGAAAAGATGGATAACAAGTAGTAGATTAGTTTAGATGGTATATAGTCTAATTGAATAGAGAATATCAATAAATAGAAAAAAAATTTAATATGGATATCTAAAAGTATGAGTATGTTTCATAGCTTTAGCTTTTCCAGTCATACTGGATAATTATTTTGGAGAATTCTACATCGTTCATCTACATTTAGTAAAATATTAGTCTAGCCATGGATTCTACGGCGATTAGATCATGTTTTTTTGGTAGAGCGTATCAATTATTATCTTGGTAGTATGAGTGGATAATTAATAGGTTTTTTATGTTTCTAATTTGAAAGTGTTTTATCCATAGGAGTCTATTAATTATAAATTCTGACAATAAATTGAAAACAATTAAGATAGATGACAATAACTACGTCTCAATAATAATAATAATAGAAAACAGTTGAGAAATTATTTATTCCAATGTCCGCCCCATCAACAACCCTAGAAATATTATCATTAAGAGACGTTGTTAATTTTATTTGTTCTCACCATTGTTCTCTTTATCTTTGCTTTTTTGTCATATTATGATTACAATGGAAAATGTGTCACATTAGGTTTAAACAATTTATTTAAAATAGTGCCACTTGATAAGATCAGTCTATACATATTCATTATTCAAGTAAAATGAATACAATAAAAACAGTATTTTCTATTATTCATACATGTGCTTGAAGAATGGAAAAAAATAGAAAGTGTTATACTGAACTTGTTTATAAATCTGAAGTTTTTTATTTTTTATTATTATGTTTAAGATTGAAAATAAAAAAAGTAAGGTCACTTCTGTGAACAGTAAGATTCAGTTCTAAGAGAAAATCTGTCTTAAAATAAGATAATTGAAAATTAGTTGAATTCATTTATCTCATTTGAAGACGATCGATTTATCAAGCTTACCATTTTCGATATTCAAATGAAGGGTAGTCTTATCACACAAAATAAATCTTTTTTCTATTCTTTATAAACAAGATACTAAATGTAAGATTGTTCATCGCTAAACGAACTAATAGAAATATTTTCTCAATAAGAATGAGTGAAGCGGCTCTCTATTTAATAAAAACCTAATTTTAATATTATTTGCTGTTCGAAGAATTAGATATGATCAACAATTATTTTTGATATTGAGAGTGAACATCGGCATTTTTTGTTTTTATTCGATAATTTCTTGTATTTTTGAAGGACTATACATGTGTATATGTAAATCATACACTAATAATCTCTATTGAAAATACTTTTTTATTCATAATTTTTTCGATTAATAGCATTCATTCGCCTCTATTCTTCTTCTGACACATTAGTTTCGAATCATTTAAGATACAGACTGAAAATAGAAAACTTCTGTTACTAAATGTTTATACCAAAATACAACTGTATATTTAATATCGAAGGTTACAATAATATACAGCATAATGATACAAGGTCAAGTATCTATATGAAGAAGAAGATAAAATCTTATCAAATATCTCAATTTTTTTGACTATTTTACTATAAAACACTTTTTGTATATATCATCAAAACTTATTTTTTAACTACAAGACTAAATCTTTGACTCGAAAGAGTGTTGTTCTAGTAATGATGATACACTATGATAGTTTCAAGCTTGTCTGATAGTTAATAATATTTATTAGGGAATAAACGATCCCTTCTCTCATATAAATCACAGATAACATGAACTAATAAAGAAGATACTAACAACTGGATTGTAGCTGTTGTAAAGCAAACGTAATTGTGTTTTATTATCATCTACTTGTTATTGTCCATACGTTAAGATCTGTAAAGGATATAATTAAAACACTCAAAATAGTATACAAAATACTTCGATGTTTATTATCTTTTTCTCTCTCTCTCTCTAATATTTTATTTGAATCGATCAGATGATGTAGGTCTCTGACAAATGCTTGTAAAAGTGTCAGATTTAATTAGTAAAAATATATTAATAATTGCACTAATAAAAATTACGGTCGAAATAGTCGACTATAGTACGGTTTGCACATCAATTTTTATTTTCTTGTTCTCTATACATTCTTATTAAAAAAGAAAGAAAAAAAGAAAACTACGCGTCTATCTCCATTTATTTTTTCCCCTTTGTTTAACAGTCTTACACAAAAACTTCTTTTTTTTTTTATTATACTTATAACAGATCGCCGATAGAAAAACAAAAATCGCGAAATGGTACTGAGAAGGAAAATTTACATAGGCTGCTACAAACGCCTGATGGAAGTTTTTTTTTTAGAAAAGAGAAGAAAAAAAATAAAAGTGAAAAGGATCAAAAAAAAGAAGCAAAAAGAAAAGTATGAACGTGTCTTTTGACGGCATTTATTATTGTTCATAATAAAAAATGTGCCGTAATTATTGATTAAAAAACTCCATGTTTTTTCGAAGGTTAGTAGACATAGTGTGAAGAATATAAGCCGCCTTGACTAGATAATGTTAGAAAACGAGAAAGATGAATTCTCACCGGATTCAGTACACTAAATAAGTAGAAAAATGCGTAAAAGAAACCCTATATTTGCAATATTTTCAAGTATTTTATGCAAATCTAGAGTTCTACCATTTCAAAAGATCAAGAAGATTTTAAGAATTGACGTTGACTCAATTGAATATTGTGTGATTATTTTTGTAATTCTATTATTTGTTTTATGTATCAATGTCAATGTATGACAATTGTTTGCTCTATTATTTCACACTTTAATTGAGCCATATTATTTCATCCTATATCCTATAGGCTATATGATCGTTGATTATTTACTATAGACAAGATAATTTTGTTTGATTTTTCTACTTCTTCTCTGTATTATACTAATCATAATCGTCAAGTATTTGATCATGTTTGTTTCAGACAGATCTTACACTATACATAATAAATACGTATAAAGAAAGCTTTGTTAAAACAAAATCTATTTTCACATATTAAATTTTATTCGTAATACAACAATAGATTGATGACTCTTGTATTTACTCTATCACGGAACGAACAAATAAGATGAAGATGAGAAGTGACGTATGAAAAGTGAAAGTGCGTATATATTATTCCTACACAATCAAAATTGATACGCAACAAGTGTTTTTGTCGTTCAGAGGTGATTTATAAAAGGAAAAAGGTAAAGTTTTTGTTCGATGACAAGCGGAAATGATTGATGTTTAAAACGATAATAGAAAAATGAAACATAACAGATAATCGTATAAAAGGGAAACGTTTTAGATACTATATGAACCAGATGTCTGTGATTCACTTTATAGATGTATGTATAAACAGCATATTTTTGAAAACGTTTAAGTATTGAAAAATGAATGAAACATTTTTGTGAAACTAATCAGTTTAATATATTTAGTTAATCAGTTTCGCGTTGTTTAAGAATCAATTTAGTCTCCTCTCCATATAAAAGATTAAAAATGATCACGATTATAGTCTATTGAACATAACAATACTGTAGTCTGGTTATTGTCTTTCCACCCAAAACAGAAAAGTCTAGATTAATTAAAGAAAAGAAAAAAGAAAAACTCGTGATAAGTCACACGAATACCAATAAGACTTCAATACAGTGTATAAATTAAGATTCACTCAGCTAATTAAAATATTACTATCCGTTGCCTGACATTCAATTGAACATCAAACATATCTTGTGTTAATAATTCATGCGATTATAACTTGAACTGGTGTAAATAAAAACTTCTTGTATTATACAAAATAAAGTTATAAGTTTTTCATTTTGTTTTATTTAGCTTATTTGGCTGGTTGGAATGGTATGCAACATCTTGTTAACGATGAGCGAAGTCTAACACGTCATTTATTACATATATCTCAAGAAATTGTTGGTTTAAAAAATAAATTAACATATGAAATTGATTCTGTTGGTCAAAAATTTCAAAATTGTGATCAATTAGATAATCAAATATATTTAAAAGAATTTTGCAATTTTATAGAATTTCAAGTGAATTCAGTTGAACACGTATATATTTTCTCTTTGTTTCTAGAAAAAAAAATTTCTTATTATTTTATATCTTTTATAGGATATATCAAAAAGCATTCCAGGTTATCATAATGATATTAATCAAGGTGAAAATAATTTGAATGAATTTCGTAAAAATCATCCAGAATTTAATGTTGGAAACTTGAATGATAAAATACTTTTAAGTAAACAATTATTAGATCAACTTTCAGACAAGTAATTATAGAATAGAAAATCAATAATTTTCTATACATAAATATATTCTTTTGTTTTGTAGAACAGAATCATACAGAACATTATTAAAAACAATCTTGATAATTGTAAATAATTTTCATCAATTAGAAAGCAATATTGAACAAAAGTTTACCGATACATTTCAACAATTGAATCATAACAATGAACAGCCACAAATTTATTTGAACAATAGTGAAACATCATCATCATCATCGTCATCATCAATTGGCCATAATAATAATAGGCAAAAAGTAAAGGTAAAAATTGTGTGTTAAACTATAGTTGTAAAGACATATGATTATTCATTCATTGATCATCAGCCTATTTATTATTTCTTCCATTATATATTTCATTTGTGTGTTTTTTTTTTAGAAAAATTTAAAAGAATTAAATCAATTGATTTATAAATACAATCAATTAATTAAACAAATTGATTTTTCAGCTAGTGACTATCATTATCATTTTTTTCACGATTTATATCCAATATTAATAAAATATTTTCAACAAAAATACGAATTATATCAAAAACAAATGGATTATATTGATTCAATTGATAACATGAATAATATTAACAACAACAATAATAATAATATCAATATGACCATGAATCAAAATAAGAAAAAACATCAGACTAATGTAACATTTAAGAATGATAGTCATTTTCTGATTGATAATATTGAACATTCGACAAAAACAAAAAAATTTAATCATGATCAACAACAACAATATACAAAGAATAATCAAAAATTAAAAAATAAAAATTCAGTATCAACCAGTAGTCCAAATATTATACATGAATCACATTTTATTGAAAATAATAACAAACCATCATCTTTGTCTGGACGAACAGCAAGAACAACGCAAATAAAACGAACAAATTATGTGGATGAAAATTCTGTTACCGAACGTAAGTATTTGTAAAGATAAGAATTAGATAAATCATAGTTTTGTGTAGATTTCTGAAAAAACGAATGAGACTTTTGTACAATTGAATTTCTTGAAAATGAATGTTCGATTTCAGTGACATCATTATATATTTTGTATCAGTAAAAACATGTGTTGACTTCTTCTTAACTACTTTTTTGGCATTTTCGACGAGAAAAAGAAAAGAGCAATTAACTATAGCTTGATCATCAGCTTAACAGTCGCCATGCTTGAAAAAGTACTAAATAGTCCTTTCATAAATGAGAGAACAATATTATAAAAAAATCTGTAATCTGTAATTTTCTTTTATAAAATGTATCATACGTATATACTAACAGCAATTACGAAGGTATACATTGATCAATAGGCGAGACCTCACGTGCAAGGCAAATGAGAGTTAGTGAGGTATAAACGAATGATATGTATATTGGAATAGAAGAGTGAGAGAAACGATTAAACTTGGCTGGTGTGTAATTATAAAGACCATAAATCGAACAAATTAGTGAAAAAAAATGTTTTATAAATACATAAAAGTCAACGATGATAAAAAGATAATTTACAACATACATGACTTGATTAGGTACGCACACAAGTCTGTAAATGTGTCTTAACTGAATACTTGTACTGTGGATAAAATTTAAATTTTTTCTTAAAAAAAAACACTTGTAAGTATGCTTGTATCTCTCTCAGGTTAAACATATACGAGATGAAAGCTAGTACGTTATATGTCGGAAAACACTAATAGATTTTTGGCGTTCGTCAGGTGATTTGATAGAGACAAGTTATACACATTTATTTCTACTCCTCGCTGTTTTAAATAATAAAGTCTGCAGGGCATATGCAGTTGGCATCATTCTTGTTATATGTTTAGACCTTTTAGTTCTTTACTCGCTTTATCCTTTTTCCATAGCCAACATGCGATTGATCGCAACTTGTACCTTTCAAAATAACTAGAAGCAGTAAGGGTAAATTTAGTTATCCATCACTATACTCTATATATTTCACAACTAAAATGATCTCGGACAAACTTTGTACCTTCTCCCTCTCTACTAGACTTTCATATTTCACATAACTTTGTGTAAAGGAAGTTTTATCTATAGGAAATCAATACGCAAGCGTCAAAATAGCGCAGTTTGAAAATTTCACCAGTATTTTATACAGTCAAATTTTTTAGACTGTTGCTGGCCTGTTATTTAAAGAAATTTCACTTTTTACTTATTTTTGAATGAAAACATGTTTTTAATATTACAAACATTTCTGAACTATATGTATTTTTTGGTTGTATTTAGTTGATTCAAATTCCAATCAAAATACATCCACAACCTCTTCTTATATATCAGACGATTGTAAAGTACTGTACATTGAAACAGTGATCGAAGTATCGAAACCCGTATTTTATGAACGCTTAAACTCTATTAGTAATTCAGAAATTCATCGTGTTCACACAACAGATACAACATTCACAAATTCACAAAACGTTCCAGAAGTAAAAGTTGAATCTGACAGTTCACCATCAAAAAGAACTATTAATTATTCTCATTTCGGTCATCGAAATATGTCTGATAACAGCAATAGTCGAAACAATACTGTTAATGATGACGATGACGTAGAATGCATACTGATAAACCCGGTGAAGGATTCCTTGTTAAATACCCCGCTATTATCTACTCCAACTAAAACTAGAACGAGCACCAGCGATCATACAACAGACAGTGGTTATGAACAGTCAGCAAATTCGACCATACAAACAACACCAAAAAGTCTGTTTCGAAATCAATTAAATCAATATGTTAATAAAGACGAACAAGATTGGAATCATCGTTCATCAAATAACGAGCCAACGCGACGAAACCAGATGAGACCACAACAGAATAACGATGATCAAGAGTGGTTGCAAACAAATACCGCACCACCACCAACAGCACGACCAAAACCACCCAAAACACAGCAAAATGATGAAAATGGTTGGTCGATAAATAATAGACGTGCATACATGTCACAATCTCAGCCAAAAATATATCTCAATAAATCCGAGCAAGAACTTTGGTTTTCAAATAATGATCCATCAACACGTACTCAACTAAAAATTCAACGTTCACCCGAAGAACAAAAGAATTTTTTTCCATTTTCAACTGATAATAATCGTCAATCGAAAAGTCAAAATATATCATCTTCGCTAACATTAAGACAACGAAAACATCAGATAAAAAATCAAGTATTATCTTCTATAAATAACCGACCAATTATTAGTAGGACTGTTCGACCAGTACCACCTTCCTATATCGATCGTTTACGCCAACAATGGTTAAAATCATTAATACTCGGTTTACTTATACTATTGGCTTTATTTACATTATATTTTTATAATCTAGATTCATGTACACGTAATTCCTGGAGACGAAATGTCATAAGAAAAATAATAAGAGTTGAACATGATGGATTGCCAACAATGTGAGAAAAGACGTTTCTGACATTTTTTTTAAACCGTGCTTGTTTTTATGTACGCATGTATTTATCATGCTTCTACTTTTATTCTTCATATAGATTTTGTTTTACACTGTTGATTTTTGTACAGATCCTTTTGGTTGTTTTTTCACCATTGATTGTACTAATCGTTTTTTTTTTGTTGTTCTCTCTTATAGGTGTGTTATTAACTTTTTTGTAAATAACGTGTTGTTAAAACAAGTTTTGTTTTTTATATATGTCTGCAAATTTAAAACTATGAAAAAAAACTAGACTATGAAAATAAAAACAACAATATCATCAGGATATTCAGCTACTCAAAAAAAAATATTATCACAGAAGCTGTTGGTTAGGCAAGATTGACCTAAATACCGTACCGATTAGGCACTATGACCACAGCGGAATATTTTTTACTAGTTTTTCAAACCTGGACGTTAATTTCTAAAATCTGACTAGATAGAATTTGTTTGAGATAGTAGAAACGCAGAGTACCAAAAAACTTTAGAACACAAAGTCCCTAAAGATGTTACTACTCGTTCTTCTATACGTTCACAGATACTGCATCAAAGTTCAAAATATTTTATTATGTTGCTAATGTTAGACATAAAAGCATACAGTAATGCGTAAACAAGCATTCTCTAACAAAAATTTCTTGAAGGATCGTTAACGCATATTTGAAGTGAAAAGCACTGAAATTTCATGTCGAAATATTGAGAGATAGAAGGTAAATAAAAAATTAAAATTATTTTACAGAATTTCTAGATTAAAGTAAGTTTATTAAAGTAATAAATACACATAATGGTATTTATTTTCGTTTTCCATGTGATCGATGTTTCTGAAATGGTAATATCTTTCCATGATTTTCATGAATCAACTGTTCGATTAATTTCAATGCTAAAATAAAAAATGACATCGGTCAGAAATCAAAACACCATTACAAGGCAAATATTTACCAATATCAATTTGTTTCTTCGTGCCTTTCACCAATGACTTATCATTTTTATGTTCAGCTAAATGGATTGATGCACCACTTTTTTGTCTAATTGTGTCGATATGCATTCCAAAAGGTCCAATAATCCGACCACTATTTTTCCAATCAATACCACTTAATTCTTGTACAATTATATCCTCATTTTCACAACGTATTGAAAAATGTTGTTTATATCCAACATCTTCACCATCAGAATCTCCAGCATTGTCTTTATCTTCATACTTATGATGATGTTCATTATTTGTAAACGTATATTCCAACATATTTGAGAATGATGATAATTCTGAATTTGACTGAGTTTTCTTTTTGTTGCTGTTATTAGTAAACGATTGTTCTCTGTAACCCCCGTAGCAATCAGTCATTGTATAATCATAATTAATTAGATCATAGAAATGAAACTGTTGGTCTGATATCGAAGGTTTGATAATATTCAAATAAATGTCTGCTAAACAAAGAATAATATTTTCTTTTTCCATTGCTTTCAATAAAACAACTCGTTCATTTGAATGTGGACATGATGTTGGATAGACTTTTAGTGTATCTAATGAATATTTTTCTTTTAATAATTTTGCATTTTCACCTAATTTTCCAATGATAGACGATGCATATTGTTCATCAATCAAATATCGAATTTCATAATGAGATTGTCGTTGTTGTTGTTGTTGTTGTTGTTCGTCATCATTATCATCAATTTTAAATATATTTATCATACCAGAAAAAAGAGTAATCAATTTTTCTAAATCAAAAAAGTACAATTTGTTCATTATTATAGTAAATGAGAGTACGCTAAATTCTCTCTCAACTGCCATCGTTAATAAGTAAACTGTTTTTAAAATAGAGTTGTTAAATTACAAAAAGGAATGCATAATCTTAACACACTTTTATTTGTTGTTGTATCATCATGTTTTATTGTTAATATACATTCTGGTATTGTTGATAGTGTTGTCAAATGTACGTAAGATTGATCAAAACTATTTATTTTATCTACATGATATTTTGAAACAAGTAGACGAAGTGACGGCAATTCTTGCTGTTCTTCAGTGGCAGATACTGAAGCAACAAGTTGTTGTTGTTGATTTTCGTCATTCTTATAAATTTCGTCGCACGACAGTTGCTGATTAACTTTTAACAATCTTAGTTGTCCAACGATTTGGCATTGTTTTGAATCTAATTTAACATTTGCTTGTTTTAGTATATCGATTTCAATTTTCATTTGTTGTAATTTTACTTCTAATTCGTTTAAATCTTGTTTTGATATTGTTGATTGTTGTAAACGTTTTAATATGTGATTAGTTAAAATATTTGAAATTGTCTGTTGAAAAAGACTTAAATGTTTATAAGATGTACAATTATCTTTTTCACATTTATCGTAGTGTTTATTTACATTTTCAAACATGTTTAATTTCCATTCTTTTAATTTAACAGTAATATTTGAATGAATTTCATCTAATTGTAATTCATTTAAGACACGATTTTGTTCATGAATATTGAGTAATAATAAATTCAATCGTTTTCGTAATGGATTTTCTTCAACTGGATGATGTTCTAGTTTAACATTATTTTTGTGCATAGTCATTCGTGAACTAAATGGTGCAAATGTACGAGAAGAAAAAGATGAGATGGGCATTTGTTCAGACATTTTCTGTTATATCTAAAATAAAAAATGTTTCTACAAAAACATGTTCATTGTGTATATTAGGAGAATAAATACATTCTTTCAAATAAGTTAGAACATCAGATTTGATGAAAACAACAACATTTTATTCACAATATATCTATCTGAAAATGATAGCAAGAAATTAATCAATGATAGAACTAATCTTTATTGTCTTGAAACTCGAACTTGATGCGTTTTTCACATTTCAGAAGAAAATATCGTTCAGAACTACAGTTCTGAAATAGTGTTAAATAAGTCATACATTTGTTGTACTTCATTAAAAAACAACAAAACAGAAGAAAAGAAAGAAAAAGTATTATTTGTTTTACTACATTACATGGCAATGTTAAAGAACAAATGATGCACAAATTGAGAGATCACACTCTAATCAGTATAATGCTAATGATGTGTTATTAATGATATATTGACTATGTTTAATTTATTTTACAGATAATTGCACGTTCATATTTATTATATGAAAAAATTTATATGGAAAAAGGATAATGCAACAGAAGAATCATGAGTAGTTTTCTCCGCAGATATCTATGCAACGCTTTTTAATAAACAATGGATAATTTGCACAGCAAAAGAAATATTTACACGTTTCAGAATTTCACACAAATAAAAATGATATTAAAGAACTAATCTGATACAATAGAAAAAAAGATCACAATTGTATTGTATCACAGATAGTTAACTCACTTTAAATAAAAAACGAAAATGGTATCTAAACAACATATAAACAATGAAAAAAGAAAGACCAGATCTATATAATAACAACAGACAGTTTACATATCATCACATATTTCATGAACTAGTTAAAATATAATCAATGAAGAAGAAAAAAAGAGTATAATAATCACAGACTTTAATCTCAATTTCTATGAGACAATGGAGACTATCTCACCTAACTAATAGATCTTGAAGCTTTCTTATGAGTTTAAAAACATTTCAACTCTTCCCCTCTCTCTCAACAATATCGTCGCACTAAAATCTAATCTCACAAGCACTTAATATTCAACCATAGTCAAATGATTTAATCACTTCAACGTGTTTTGCCATGAGAACGATGTTTTTGAAATGGCAGTTTTTGTTTGTAACGATGTAGACATTCATCAATGAGTCGTAAAGCATGAGCTAAAGAAGGCAATTACTTTTATGTTTCATATTTTCAATCTAATAACAACATGTTCTCTTACCGATCTGTTTTTTTGTCCCTCTAATTATTGACGGTTCTTCCCCATCGTCCGAAATATGTACCCATGCACCTGATTCTTCTTTAATTTGGGTAATTCGTTGTCCAAAGGGTCCGATGATAATTCCTACTTGATTATCCGTTAAATGAGTCAAATATTTAACTAGTATTTGATTACTATCACCATTTGAAGGCATCTCCCACGTCTTTTCATCTTCAATATCGATTTTATCATAATTTGGTTGAATATTTGATTTTTGATTACAGACAACGGGTATCAACGCCACTGCTGTAATCGATTTATTTTCGTCATCTTCATAACCTCCATATTCTGAACACATGGTTCTATCATAGTTCTGAGGATTATATAAACATATTGATTGAATTTGTTCTTTACTATATTGACGATATTGTTCCAATATATTCTGATATATTTCCTGTAAACAACAGATAATATATTCATGTTTTTGACTTGATAGTGACAAAATTCGTTCATTTGATTTTGGACATGATTGTGAATATATTTTTATTTGATTTAATTGATATTTTTCTTTTAAGTAATTTGAACGTTCGCCGCCTTTACCAATTATATATGGAATATATATTTCATGAAATAATATACGTAATTCATTTGTTTGAGATGATAGAATTAATGGCATCACTTCTGATAATATTTCCATACATACTTCTAAGTCATCCTGATTAATTATTGTCAAAACATATTCAAAAATACCCGGTGAAAGTGAACATGGTGAAAGTTGAATCATTGATGAAAGTTGATCAAGATTAATTTTCTCTAATTTTTGAACAACTTGATATTTTACTAAGAAACGAAAATTCATTTCTGTTACGTAATTAATTCCATTTTGAGCAATTGTATTCCAATTAGTAGAAACGTTTTTCTGAGGTAGTTGTAGAGATGGTGAAGCCGAATCTTGAGAATACGAAACAGAAATCGATTCTGGTTGTTTTTTACTAAAAGTTAATGCATTGTTATTGGAACCATTTGACAATGCTTAAAAAGAAAGAAAACTATTAATTAACAAAAGTGAAGATATATGAATGCAACAAGACTTATTAAATGAGAAAAATTTCTAGTATGTAAGATGGACTACCCGTTGCTTGTGGTAGTGATGATCGCTCCTGATTTGCCTTTTTCTTGAGATTAAAATCTGTCAATTTGACTAAATTCAATTGTCCTATGATTTCCACTTGTTCACACTCGAGATGTAAATTTAACTGTTTAATAAGGTTGATTTCATCTTTCATTTGTCCTAATCTTAATTCAATTTCATCGAGATCTTGCTTATTCAACTCATCATCTGATTTTCTGGCCATTTTTTCCAATCGTCGAATTAAATGATCATTTAAGATATTTTGAATTGTTTGTTGAAAACAATAGAGTTGATCGTACGATGAATCATTTTCGGCCATTATTTTATCGTGCATCAATGTTATACGATCACACATATGACTTTTCCATGAATCTAATTCTTGGCTTACTGTTTCATGTATTTCTTCCAACTCTAAATGATCTAATATTTGTTTTTGTTCATTGGTTTCATGGATTAAACTTTGTATTTGTTTCTTGATGTCTTGTTGAGATGGTTGAATGCTTATCGGACGAGGAACTGACGAAGACGGTTCAATTAAAGCGAACTTAACCCCATTACCACCTGAATGAAATATATAAGTAAGCAAAATCAAACAAGGATAGAATAAAAGAACCACGCAGAAGTAGAGATAAGCTGTGTGTTGAATAAGCCAGTGAAACCATCAGATTATTACACGTACTACATCTTCCATCATGTTCCCTTTTTCATCTTCATCTTTGAAAGATAAGGAAATATAGTTTTGTCTTTGAAAGATTCAGTACAAATTGTTTTCTCATATTACCATTGCGTTGTACGCTATCATGTAATTTTGACTTTACCGGGACTTGTTGTTCTTTCTTTGCTTTTTGTTCAACAACCGGCTGTAATGTCACTTTATCTTCGATAAAACGGATCTTTTTCATTGCCGGATTTTGAGCTGGATGCAAATTTTTATTTGAATATAAACTTTTCCATCGTACTGGATCTAGAGCCATTTTTTTCTTAATCAATTTTTGTTTAGCAAGATGAAACAGTCTATAACAAACAGAAATGAATAAACACTCGAATAGGTATTGTCTGTTGCTGTGTTTGCTCAAAACGGATTGAAAAAGCAAAAGCCACATACTAGATGTGGGTGTATTATATATTATGTATTACTCACGAAAAGTGAGAATCATCAAAGGTCCCCGACCTGTATTAACAATGGCTCAAGCCAATACAAGAGTAACGACAATTAGACAAAAGAAAAGTAGAGTAATGGACAGAGACAGATCAAGTAAACAAATGACAGCAAGGTAAAGAAAAAGAAGAATAAGATAAAAAATTGAAAGGCGAAAAATTACCACGGATACGAGTTGACTAGAAATATGGCTGTACCATGGAAATTTATTTAAGACCTGCTGTTCAACAACTAACAGCTTCGTACGTCACGTCATTCAAACAAGCTGCTCCAGCATGTTAAAACGTCTGCATTTCAGACAAACAGGTGGTGACTATTTTTACTGTCATTATGGCTGAGTGGTTATGTTGTTCGGCACGTACTTCATAGGTACCGTGTTCGAACCTCGGTGCCACTCAGTCATAGAATAACCTTGGACAAGTTACTAAGGGCTATCTCACCCTCTCGGATCACCCGTCCGATAGCATGCTCACTACGTTGTGACATATACCGGTACTTCGGTGCTAGTATGTGGTTAGTGAGTGTGTATGTGGAGCTCGAACAATTGGGCGAAAAGAACTGTGTCAGGCTGGCCTTCTGTCCAGAGCTACAGCTTGCTTGGTGACTAGTAGAAGAACGGGTGACCGTCTCTGAAGATCATCAGCTGTAGGGAATATATCGAGCTTATCGAAACTGCTTCGGCAGCACCCTATACCGCAAGGTAGGGTCTTCTTCTTCTTCTATTTTTACTGACCGACTGACTTTACTGACCAAACTTGGTTGGTCTATCCAATGGTTACCCCATACAAATTTGGTCAGTAAAGTCAGTTGGTCAGTAAAAATAGTCACCACCGACAAACAAACAGCTGCTGTTTTCACAGTGATTTTACAGTTTTGCTGTCATTGGTTAAAACGATCAATGAATATATAAGGTATGAGAAAGGATAAAAGTAGCGCCATAGGACACAAGACTTGAACACGGAGTCGCTTCTTAGTTTATTTATACACTCCTCATCTACCATATTAATACTAGTAGTACAGAAGAAAGAATGAGTTTCAGTGATTGGCAGGAATTGCAGTAACTGTGCATAGGCAACACTAGTTCTAACGCTGTACATCTAGCATGTTCGAACCGTTTCAAGATAAGAGGCAACAGCAAGAGTGCTTAATCAACCATCCCAGAATTTTTTCTAGATAGGGTATTTTCATAAAACATTCTGATAAACTTTCACGAAAACTTAAAAACCTTGCTTAGATAGTAAGTTTTACAAAAAGCCCTCTAAAACATAAAAGCTGCTATCTTGGAAAATGGGCAACTTTAAGTGCTCGGTAATAGTACTTAAGTTAGAGTCGGAAATTTTATGATAGTCACTGCATACTGTGCACTACAAAATGAGGCAACTTAGCGTTCTAGAACTGCGTCCTTTTTAGTATTGCAGATAGTGCATTGAAAACTTATTCATTTGAAACAAAACCGACCGGAAACTTTCAATCATATTTTCAGATTGAGCAACTACAAAAAGTTTTAAGGGGACATATGGTATCTTATGTTGCGAAATAACTGGAGATTAAAGTAGCACTATTGTTGATTATTGTAACATGTTATAATACAATATTATCACTAATAAACTAGGTTTCTTATTAAAACTACTAATATAAAGTAGCTCTAACGAGTTTTTGATGTATCATAACAAAAAACTGCTCATTATCACACTAATTTGAACACTGCAAATAAAGCGCACACACATATCAACGACAGAAAAATGAAGTTCATTTAAAGTCGTGGAAAAGTGCTTTTTCTTATGCAGCATACTTGATAATCTAGTAGATTTTCTATTTTTGCCGCGGAATACTGTCAAAAGTTTAAGAAAAATTTTGAAACTAATATTATTCTCCCATGAAAAATTTTTCGCATAGTGTTTGAAACTTTTCCTAAGCTTTTGGCAGTAACCGTCGTCAAAAATAGAAAATCTTCCGGATTATCGAGTGTGCTGAATACGAACAAGCACCTTTTGCGACTCTAAATGAAAACTATTTTTTCTTCACGTTAATATGGCGCCTTATACGCAACTCATATTTCTTCTCTAAGAAAAAATTTCCATGTAAAAAATGCGTCCAAAATGCATGAAATTGCGATCTTATACACTATAGACGTATTCGTAAGACATCATGGATATGTAGGTTATGCGCCTTGGATTAAATTTTCTTCTCAGGAAAATAATATGATATATGTGTGTAAGGCGCCGTGGATGCATCGCTTTATTTATACTGAATTATTTTATATTTTATCACAGTATAATCATGCGTAAAAAAGAGAAAAGCAACTTTTGTTAATCTAAAACATGTAATAAAACAAAAGGCAAATGTAGAAAGGAAAAAAAGCATGCACTGATGAGCAAATGACCAGTGTGTGCGCAGAGAAAGTATTTTCATAAATCTGACAGGAAGTCAGCATTGAAATTGAGAGAAAAATGACCTTTTCATTTCAACGATGCAGCTTCCACTTTCTAAGCCAAGCGAGCACTCATCGAGGAAGAAAGAACGCTAAAAATGAAAGCTACAGTATTTGAGCATCAAATTCAGGATAATGGGCTGTTCATTTAATAACTACCCCTGTAACGGATTTTTGTTATTTTAAGACCATACTAGAGAGTGTCATGGCCTATCTGCTGGTATAATATTATTAATGGATCATCAAATTTGATGTTGTAGAGAAAATAAATAAAAACATATGGGGAAAAAAGTGTGACATACCTTGTATCACGGTTTTTAATTTGTTTATTTGATATAAATAACAACTTATTTACAAAAGAAAGTTGCATCCTTAGTAACTATCAATACTATAATTCGTGTGAGTGCAGAAATATTGTGCAAGGTGTTTTGTTTAATAAGAGTTAACGCACATAATTAGCGATTATCTTAAAATGGATTCCGTTCAATGGTCATCTCAGGATACTATATTTCAATGGCCATCAATTCGTACACCTTGTGCGAGAGCTGTCCAAATATCGTTATCTGGATAATAGCTATACATAGAGGAAATAAGGATTTAAGAAGATAACGGAAATCACGCCTAGCAGAAAGTGGTAAAATAATGTCTCGTGACTCACTCTCATGCTGCCACCTTCCCACACCCCCACACCGTCCCTTGTGTCTCTTATCTTCTTAAATCCTTATTTTCTATCCTTATATCCTTAAATCCTATTTATATAGCTATTATCTAGATAATGATAACTGGACATCTATGCCTTGTGCATCCATCAAAGATGGAAAATAATAAGCTCTATGAAACAGCCAAAAACAACTATGGGTAATTGTGATAAATGCTACCCCCGTGATTAAGATTAACATGCACTTTTCTTTTATAAAAAGAATAATTACTCAAATCGCTATTGGCAAATGATAGCTGGTATGTATACGTATATAACAGATGTATAAATATATAATAAACAATTAACAGTAAATAAAAAAAATAAAAATGACCGAACATACATTGCTAGACAGTTATAAGTCAAATGAATTATTATATTATTTTTGTTGATAACTGTTTTTTTTTTAAATAGTGTTAGTTGTAGCTGGTAGTGGCTATTATATTATATGTTCACAGCCATCATACATAATAAATGTCTTTAATTGTACAGAAAAAATAACAATAACAATAAAACCAAAAAAAAACAAGAAAAACAGAACAAAAAACACCAAAATCAAAAAACGTCAAATTTTCACCCTGATTTCGACACCAAAGGACTATAGAGATAAATTATTCAGAAAGTGGACATTGTTAGACAGAAGCAGGGATACCAATTAAAACAAAAATAAAGGGGCACATTATTTATCGTACAACACCATTGAGAAAATTACAGACGCATGAGTATATTCGTTCTTTTTTGTGGAGTATTTCTGTTATTCGTTTTTCTTCTCGTATTACTGACTCAAAACGTAAAAAGTAACAGAAATATCTGTTGTTACCTCAAAACAATAAATAATCAAATCATACGTAATTTTTACTAATATATACATATTTTTCACTTCCACGAATACTCCTAAGAACTTTGTTATTTAGAATCATATAATGCAAAGTATACTTTGCATTATATGATGACGCGAATTTAACGTGTACTATAGTACACGTTAAATTCGTGTTCATTCAAATTTTCAATTCTGTAGCTACTAATTCACCTACGCATCCCAAGTCCACTTTCTTATCGCACGTCACGCCGCGAGTCTCTTTAAAAAAAATGCGTATTTTATTTTAGATAACTCACTCGTTAAATTGGTTAGTTCGAATGGCATCTGATATTGAGACAAATATTGTTAGTGTTGAACTTGTTAATGAATATTCACAGCTTGAAAGTGAAGCACCATGGAAAATTTCAGATGCTAAACCGCCACCTCATTGACCAACTCAAGGTGAAATTCAATTTAGTGATTTATCAACACGTTATAGAGGAGGCCTCGATCTCGTTTTAAAAAATTTAACAATTGATGTTCAACCAGGAGAAAAGGGAGGAGATTATTTTTAGTTGAAGTTTTTTCGAAGTTAATGTCTAAATTTACAATCGGATACAACTTTCGATTATCTAGATCTTTCCACTAGACAGGCAAAATTACAAGGACAAGTTCGTACAAGATATATGTACTAACTACTGAAGTTTCATTAGCAAGACTTGAACTAACTCTTGCGCAAAAACGTCCCTTTTACTGGAAGCAGAGCGAATTCATTGAGTGTACATAATTCTCTTGATAAAATCGAGAACGGCTTCAGATATCAAAGTCACTTGCAGCCATCTGTCACTCTGACCTTGCTCCATCATCCTTGATTCAAACGTAGTGATCAAATTTTACACCATGAATCGCAAATGTTCTGTCTACTTTAGTCTGTATTCATCTATGTTTTATAGTATGCGAAGCTTCGAGCAAGTCAAGATCTCGTTGTAAAACAGAATTTCTACTTTCTAACAAATAGTGAGAGGAGATCTAGTGATAGAAAAAGGGAAGTCATAAGCATTTTCGATTTTTCTTGCCCAAAACAAACTTTTTGCTTGTGTTCGTCTCACTATTTCTCAAAATGTCTACCTTGATGGAAAGACAAAATTTTATAGAAAAAGTTTTTGGCTAAAAATATTAGCGAGAATTCTTTGTCTATTTGTTTCACTACAGAAGACATTTTTTTTTGTATAGTTGTTGGGTTATACTTTGTTCAATGTACTGATCACGAATATCCCATTTGTTTTACTAAAAAATGTTTTTTAATCGAGAAAAATGGATTTTACCCGAAAAATGAAGACTTTCAAAAAAAGTATACTAAAGTTACGTAGGATCACATCACGCAAACTACCTCCAAGGTACGTACTTATAAAGTAGACAGATAGCGTTTTTCGAATGCTATATGAACTAATTATTATGCATATGTAATGTCACAGAAATTTGAATTACATTTAAGAAACTGCCCTAGAAGGCTCACATATTGTTAACGCTACCAGTTTCGACTCAAACTAAAAGTTCATTGAAATGTAAAATTGCTTGTCTACAATTCTGGATACAACCGGATTTAAAGTCCGAACACTTTCGTTTGCTTCCGACTGCCTACTATAGTGGAGAGGTAGATACCTAAGATATCTGAAGCCGTTCTGGATTTTATGAAGAGAATTATGTACACTCGATGAATTCGCTCTGCTTCCAGTAAAAGGGACGTTTTTACGCAAGAGTTAGCTCAAGTCTTCCTAATGAAACTTCAGTAGTTACTACTACATATATTTTGTACACAACTTTTCATTGTAATTTCGCATGTCTAGTGGAAAGATCTAGACAATCGAAAATTTCAAATAATAATCGAAAAGTCGAAAATGTAATCACAAAAGTCTAACATTCTCAAAGTCTCATTAGATTTTAGACGTTTACACGTATGTTCTTTTGAAAGACAAAGTATCAAAATTCTAGATTGGAATTATTGGTCGTATGGGTTCCGGCAAATCGAGTCTATGTATTACTTTGCTTCGTATTATTGAACGTACTCAAGGTAAAATTATCATCGATAAACAGCAGCAAACACATGAAAATGGTGTTCATGAAGAAACAAAAGATTTAGTATGAAGAATTTGTTTTGTTCTTGAAGAATAGTTTGTTATCAATTCTAAGATATTTTTATGTTTTTTAATTTTATTTTAGCTAAAGTATGGTATGGTTAGAAATGTGTATTAGATTTTAGGACGTCATTTGTTAATCTCTTCGATTTTCTAGCCAAAAGTTGAATTAAAAAAACCAAAGACTACAAATAAAAATAGTCCCTATATAAATATAATATATATTATGTATCTAACGTTGAACTCTATGCAACCCTTTTCTCAGACATCTTCCTCATCCGAAGTGAGAAGAGGCGAGTAGCAAGAGTTAGTGAAAAGACAATATTTTACATAATAATGTTCTATTATGTTATGCAATTCGGATTATGCATTGAACTTTCAGAGCATTTTCAACTTTCAAAATCTAGGATTACAGTCAGAACCATAATTGTTGTTTTATTGTTTTGTAATTCTTTGAATTCTTCTATTATTAATTTGAAATATTAGAGTAACTTGTTAAATATGTTCTAAAATATCAACAGCTCCTTTATTCAATATTTTGCATGTACTGTTGTAAGCATCATTCAATTCTCACTATCATCAGTCAAACTTCATCAACCATATGTCGTTGTGAAATAAATCATTTGTTCGGAGTAAAATCGCAACTTGACATATACCATTAAAGAATTCACAGAAATATTAAACGATAAAACAACAATTATACTTAAATATTTTCATTATGCCACAACATTCGAACATCTAATACGATCAGTTTATAAGACGAAAATGTATATGTTCGACTCAATTCTGGTAGAATTACTGATAAAATTATGAAAATTGACACCATCCATTATCTACAATTGATTAGTCTTAGATATTTATTTTAACCTTGCTTATAAACACACTCATGTAAAATAAGATAAAAGAGGAGGGAAAGACGAAGAATTACTGAAAACATTAGTGATTAATTAAGTAGCCGCTACCGCTGAAATATACATACACACACACACACACACAAATTTAATACGTATTTTTTAGATACTGTTGGTTAAAACATTTGGAAAATATTCTCGTGTAAGGTCTAACATCGTTTTGGGGATCCAATGTATTCCATTCTCAATATGTTGAAATGGTTCACGTATAGTAAGAACTTTTGCAACTGAATACCACCATCTCAGTGGAGCCAAAATATTATGCGCTAAATTGTGACTAACAACATTTGAATAACATGATGCAACTATATCATTGACAATTAATGTGCCTGAAAAAAATTTTAACCATATTTTGAAAAGTTGAATAAAAGTAATGAACATCATTTTTGCTCACCTTTACTTGTCAGGGGCGTATAATATCCCGTTTTATATTCTTCTGTCACATTTTTAACACGTACTGGTTCAAGTTGACCATTTGAATTGATATAAACAATATCAAAAGATTTTATGCGATTAGCTGGTATAAATTCTTCATTTTGATTTTTGACTGCGACAAAATGATCACCAGTTAGACTAAGCTTATGATTTGTCATTGTCTCAATTGTGTAGAATAATGCTAAAATGAATTAATTAATAACTCTTCTTCATTTCTAGCTAAGTTAAAAGATCTCCCTGCCTCTCGAAAATATAATTTTAGATATAAAGTTTATATTTGAGATAAGCTCTATCCACTCTTAGTATTCATTCTGCTTTTGATCATAACGAGAGTTTCTGATGAGTACAGTTGTTGAGACACCCAGAAAAACTAATTTTCCAAAAAGTATTCTATTTTTCATAGATATATTGCGAAAAATGGATTTTATGTACAGATATCGATGTGAAAGAGTAAATGTTCCTCCCACAAATGCGATAGTTTTATATTTAGGAGCCATCGTTTAAGATGGACAGAAGTTACCTTCCAATAAAAGCTGTCATTCGTAGGTACTTCAACACTGCCTGGAACTTAGCTACCAAGAGAAAAAACGTGCAGGAAGATTCAAAGTAGCTGCCGATGAATTTTAAAAACGCTAATTAAACCTAATTAAGTTTGTTATCGTCTAAAATAGAAAGAATAAAACTTAAAAAAGCGTTTGAAACAACTTTAAAGACGAAATGATTGAAATCGTTTGCTTTCAGAATAAATTTCTATGATTTTTCTGTTTCGATAAGGTCGTTTCCAAAACATCTATATCCTGAAAATGACTTCAAACATGTATAATCGTACGTATTATCCGAAGTTTCTTCCTCATGGAAATCCATAGTGTTTGAACTAGCCATATTTTTAATCAAAATGCAAAAATTTTCTACCAATAATAATGTAAAACTGAAAAAACAGGCGTTGGCAGCAGCAGCAATTAATAATGAAGTAAATATTTCATCGAATGAAGAAAGAGAACCAAAACAATTGAAAAAGTGAGAATTGGAGAAAAGGCACATTCTACCAAATTTATTCTAAACTTATTTGTATTCACAGACGACGTTATTAATAGTCAAAATGAAAAAGTTAGCACCATTTATTTTCACAATTTCTGCAACGAACTTGTTTGTTTATGAAAACTATTTTGTCGCATATGAATAGCTGATGCACAGACTCAGCTTCTGACTATAGAACTATCTGTACGTTAAAATACGCATTTAAATTATAATAAGTGTCGTTTATTAATTTTGAATGAAAAAGTTGTTACGAAATATTCATAAAGATATAACATCTAACCCTTTACGTATCTTACAGTGATGCTTATCTGCGAAGTTTTTTCTTGATAATGAAATTTTAAATTTCGAAACGTCGAATTTTATATGTATAAACTATTTTCATGCTCATTTTAATTAAATATACATTTTATTCAATTACAAATGGTTTATCTAGTAGCTGCTGTTGCTCTTAATTTTTTACTGAAATTATTGCCCTTACGAAAGCAATATACTCTATTGTGACTAACATTCTGTGAGAAGTTTGTTAATATCGGATTTAATATTGTCGAAAATATCCAGAAATGGGGAAACGTCGTAATACTTACCAGGTTTTCTAGGTTGACTATCAAGTATCATGACAACTTCATCTTCAATAATTCTGTTCTCAGAGTCCATTACATGAACACGATCACCGATACGAAGTTCATTTATTGGTTTATAGTCACCATTCACCATTGAAACTAGACCATCACCAGCAAAACATTTTGGATTACCTCAATAGAATAGTAAAATTATTATGACAGTTCAGTTTTATCATAGATGTTAATGTTTGTTAACTCACGATGTAATGGACATTCATCAGGTTCAGCAACACCTGGATTAACACAACACCATTGAGCCAAATTTTGCAATTCTGTAAAACCACCTTCAGCCGCCTATTTAAATGTATCACATCAATCTTTGAATATAGTTTTCTCTATTAATTGAATCTTTCTTACCCAACCACCGATACAATTTCTTGTTTTTGTTTTAAAGCATTCCATGTATCTTTCAGCAAGACCACAGAATAGTTTTAAATTTCCTTTCGCTGCTTGAATAATCGCTTGTACATCAAGTTGAGCACATTCAGCTAACTGTACAGGATCTTGTTCAACTGGACATGGTTGACCATAAACTATTGATAACATCACCAACATAACAAATACTAGAAATCTGTAAACAAACATTTATACCAAAAAGAGTTAGTTTAAACCGAGATTCCAAATTAGGATATTCCATGGTCAAATGATAGTGTTAAATCATTATTAATAACTAAGCAAAAACTACTTACATATTTTGTTTTCCTTCCATTATCGATGATCAGTCAAGTGCTGTTACTATGAGATACTATATTTTTGTTTTATGATACTCGTCTGTTAATGATAAACTTTATAAACTCTAAACTGATGTTTTGCCTTCAATAATGATGATGATATATTATTAGAGTTTGACCTTTTTTTTTTTTGAATATCGTTCATCCTACAGTAATGTCAATATATTCGAATTTTTATCTTATTTTAATTTTTAGAGTTTTCTTCTACTAATCATTATAGACAATATATAAAAACTAGAACATAATTTACCTTTCCTATTACTTAATCATCATTCGTAAATAGTTTCACAATAGATATTCAAACATTCGATTATAGCATATGACAATACTTCTGTTTGCTTCGAAAAAAAGACATCAATTTTTGCAAAAACGTTTTCGGATGAAAAAACCACGACAAGTGTGACATTATTATATTTCATTATCATTATTAATTGGAATCAATATTTTTATTCACCACCCTGTTAATAAATAGTTTGAAACAATTAATATTTATCCACATGTTTATCTGTATTTAATAAATACACAATGATAATGTTTCAGTCTTAATTGAAAAAGTTATCTTCATTTTACTGATGCTTTATTATTGATGATGGCAAAACAATTGAGACATTCGAATTTGATTAAAATCCTCCGCATATGTCTAGAGTCTATCATGAAAGGTCCTGAAGTATAAGTGAAAAGTAAAATATACTAGTCAAAGTTTTGCCTTTTTTTTGTATTCAAATGTAATTAACAATGTTAAGATGAAAGAAGCACACTGTGTTTCGATTGCAATTATTTTTAAACTTGTTCTTTTTTTCGGTTCGTATGTTAGTCAGTTCTCTGTGCATGTGACATTTGTGGTCTCATATCTTGAAATAAAAATTCTAAATGTTCATACTGTTAAAATCAAAGAACATTGATCATACAGTGTTTGTTGTATCCTATGAAAAAAGTTGAGATTCTCAGAAGATTTTCACCAGTTTTCGTATATTTCGAAAAAGAAAGCATATTTTTCGAAAAAAAAATGAAAAGCCTGAGATAGAGTCTGAAGTACACATATGGTAAACATTTCGGTTCGATCGAACCATATTTTTGTAGGGATTGTAATGTGCTGGATTAAAATTTAGGACTCCAAAAAAGCCATGGAAGAACGTGTCAGAAGGTTCTGGGCACAAATACATCAATTTTCTTATTCGTTGTTCTATCTTTGGTGAAAAAATTAGACTGAATCGAACCTTTGCTTCCACCCTTGCCAACAGGGAGAATGATTGTTTAGTAAAGTATTCTTGTTAAGAATGATCGATGGTATTGCTATCGAAGAGGAGAATCAAACTGTTGATACTAGTTGTATACCTTCTTCGTATACATACGATTTCAAAATCAAAATATAGTAGATTATTCTAAAAGATGTAAACAGTCGCTCTAAACGAGTTGATAGAAGAAATGGTTAACAAATCTCAAAGAGTAGAGAGAATGAACTATCCATCCGGGAAAAAATTATGTCTTTTAACAATAGCCTACGAAAATAAAAATCTATCATGTGACCAAAGTATTTTCATATCTTGTTTAAGTTTAGATTCGATCTGTATCATAAAATTTTAGTTTCTTCTTCGTTAATCGATAATACTAACATTGAACATTTCGTATACTTTATTGAGATACATTATTTGTAATTTTTTTTATTCAAACATCGTTTTATTGTACATAAATAACAGTGCTAAACATTAATGACAACTTTTTGAAAAAATAGACTTCATTTTTTTCACAATAATGTTGGTATTCGCCTATTCTGATAGTTACTCACGAATTACACCTGCTGGACATAGAGAAACAACTGCTGTCCATTTTTCATCTGTCTTATTTCCTCTTTCCCATTTTCTACTACGTGATATAGATCAGAATTATATTAACGGTCTATTTATCATCATTGATCGTTTAATTATATTTTAAAAAATGATAGGATAAGAACATCTCTTATTTGCGTCTATGTGTATTGGGTGATAAAAATATGGAGAAGGATGATTTTATGTTTCATCATCATCCGTAGATAAAAACTAAGGTTTTCATTATACATACACACACTCGAGTCATCGCTATCTTTAAAATGAAAACAGATAAACAATGACGTGAAGTGATTTCTATATAAAAAAAATAGTGAAACTGTATAAATGTTGCTAAGTTGTGTATGAAAACTACGTACAAGAAAGATGGAATTCATAAATTATTTACCCAACCTTTACCGTCATTTATTTCTTCTGCATAACGTAAGGAAGTCAAAGATAATGTAGTTAAAGCTCTATTATCCTAAAACTATTATCGGATGGAAAAGTATCGACAATCACGTACTCGAAAAACTGTACATATTTTCTAATTTATCAGTTCTTTTACTAAAAAACGAATCTATCATTATTTTAAAATATCTTATATAGAGAAAGTTAACGAATATCACCCGAAGTTTTTAATATGTGCTAGACAAATTCTTTTTCCACAACGAAAAACTCTAGTTTCTAGTAGTGTACAGTCTTCCAGGTAAAAAGAAAGGATCAAATATCATGATTAAATGTTTTAGTTGTGCATTGCAAGACATTTATTCTCTTTCTTCTTTAAACAAAGTCAAAATCGTAACAGCAAAGCGAGAAAAGGAAGTAGCAAAAGTCTGAAACTTACAGACACATACAACAGACAAATATGCTATTGTGATCTATTGTATCATTCACACATCCACAGCAAGAATTAAAAAACAGAACAAACGAACACGAACATTGAACAGATATAGAAAACAGCAAAAAAAGCATAGCATAAGAGCTAACAGAAAATTATGACAAAAGAAATATTGAAAGAAACAAAAATTGCAACAAAAATAAATCCTAATTTCTATCCTTTAACTTATCGCATGCAAAAAAAAAGTTAGAGAAAAAAAAATGTAAGGGACGGAGGTAGAAGAAATCATCAACTTGACGAATTCATGAATTTCGTTTTCGTCCGAAGAATCTACCCTTCTGGTAGCAAATAACCGATTCTCTCAAAATAATTATTTAAATTAGAAGTGAAGTGCTATTGTGTAAATTGAAGTACCAAAGCCAGTAGTTCTGGTAACAAAAACAAGAAAAAGACGACGAATACATGAAAACTGTCAGAACAGCCACAATGAAAATTTGTTCTAAAAGACGAAAATGCAAATACACACATCGTAGTACATGCAAACACAAACCCAACAAAACAAAAAAAATTCATTTTTTTAACACATACGAAAAAAAATTGGATATCACTGTATAACAAAAAAAAGAAACCAGAACAAGATCATACAACCCAAATAATGATTGGGTTTTTGAACAGGAACAAAAGAACTGCTACATTATATACAAAATTTCAAATTAAATGTGCAAACGATAAACATTGTCGTAGTCGTGTACGACGCTGATCTGTTGTTTTTTCGGACTGTTTTGAAACCGATCGATAGAGTCGACATTGATCTTGAAATTGATCGTCTAACATTGTACGATATGATTGTGGTGTACATAAATCTTTATGATCGGCAAAAAATTTTCTATAACCTTGATCAAGTAAATAACATTCCGGATAATATAGACGAGGATAACAATGCATATGAAGTTTACGATCCTGATCACGCAAAAAACGATATCTAAACGGAAAGAGTATATTTTATAAATTTCAACCATCTTATTGTTTTCACACAAATGATAGAAGTTAGATGAAAAGCGATACTTACAATTTTGGTCCTCGTTCCGCTGAATATTCACAATGAAAAATAATAATAATACGTTTCTTTGGATCATCCGGAATATGTGGTGTTTTTAATACTTGTTCAATAATTCCTTCATTTGTATAAATATTTCTAGCTGTCATTATATGACCACCTTCGTATTCGTATGGATAACGAGCATCAATTATATAGAAACGTTCAATTTCAGAACTATAAACATTATTTAACAAATCACGAATCTAAAATTAATATTCAGTTAAAAAACACATGTTCGATATGTCTGTATGTAATTTACATACAGTATCGCCCGTAATCGATGGAAGATCTGCTTGTTTTGCAAATGGTAATGTTGGAAGTAAATAGGATTTTGTACGATCAGCAATGTAAGTATGTTGTTGTAAACCTAAAAAATATGACTGTATAATAGGAGTATATGAATTAGATGAAAATCAGTTCAGGCTTTCTCATTCGTTGTTTTCTCGAACTCGAACAAAAATGCATCTCTATGTATGTTAAACTCATATACGAACTATACTTGTTTTCTCGAACTATCAATATAATATTACCAATATCGACTGACTCCATGACTTGTTGTTCAGTATGTGGCATCATATAATGAGAACGTCCATTATTTGAATGTTTATTTAAATTTAAATCTTTTTCGTCCTCACTATGATCATCTGTTTTTCGTCGTTTCGATATTAATTCTTTATCAGTTAATGTTGTCGATGATATAGATCGTTCAAGACGTTTCTAAAAACATAAACCGATAAGTGATTTAAAATTGATGTGAAAACTAAGATTAATATACCTTTTTATTAATGATGACATCGTTTATTTCTTCTATAATAATCAAATCGTCTTCATCTTCCCAAGATGATACAGAATCAAATTTTTCCATTGGTAGAGAAGCAAATGGTGAACAGGTAGAAATCTAAAGAAATGTAAAAATTCAGGTTCTATTTTCTAAGAAAGAGTTTTTACTTACTTATTTTACCTCCATTCGATCGTGTTCATTTTCTGTTACTGTTGTCTTTATAGATGATGAAAATTCATCACATGTGTCCTGAAAAAAATTATTTTGTATTAGTCGTTAGAAAACCTTTCGTCACAAGTTTATAATACCTGACTGAAAAAACCACTGTCTTCTGAGTTTTCACCTTCAAATGCAATTAATTCTTGTCTAACTGGTACAACTATTGTAGGTGGCTGTTTCTGTTTCGTTTTTCCCGTAGTTTTCTTCGATTTATTAAATGTAGCTTTTGTAGTTAATGATGTATTTAATGTTGTATCAATTTCAAATTCATCAAGCAAGGGTCTACATTGACGAAGTAAAAATATATAATGTACAAAAAAATAATTCATAATCTACCTTTGCTACATGAGAAACAAGCCTAACTAGCAAAGAATTGTTAATAGAGCTGTTATACTTACAATCGGCTGACGTCATTGATCGGCTTTAAAACAGGCAGTTTTGTTGACTTTTGACTAGAAGATGTTGATTGTTTGGAAGTAAAGCCTTTTTGATTATTGTTATGATTATCAATAAATATTTGCCATCTTAAATTTTGACGAAATCCAAATTCTTCTAAACGTGACTGTTGTTGTCCAATATGGTTACTATTATCATTCGTCGAATGAACATTTTCTTTATTCACGAGAAATGGACGAGTTCGTCGAGTTCTTCAGAAAAAGGAAAAAAATTGCGGTTTTACTATCAACATGAAATAACTAAGTGTAATTTACTTTGATGGTAATGGATTATTTGGTTTTAGGGCTAAGAGTGGAGATGTTTCTATTTGTTCTGTACAAGTTAAAGGGGAGTAGTTGTATTGTGGTGACGATTCATCCTCACTTGAAGGAAATAATAAGCGTCTGGGAGTCATCGGTCTGAAATAAATAAAAATTAATCGAGTTATTCTAATCAAGGACTGGTGAGATCTTTATATCATACGTTGATAAGACATCCTTATCACAAACCACTACTTTAAAGAACATATTTATTTGATCTTCTTTAAAAGTTTCCAAAGAAAGGCTCTTATTACATTAAAGATGTTGGGGCGTCGGACTGCCTCTCTTCACATTTTTAACTAAATTCATCTGAGAATAAAGCGTTTTCTAGACTACGTGTAATATTTGCCACTTTTTGGGTAAACTCACACTCGTCTCCTAACTAATCGCACTTTGTAGCTTTATTTTACTATGAGACGTTAAGCTACAGAAGGAAAGTATATCTATATGGCTTTTTAAAGAAGTTTGTATAATAACATATGTTAAATTTAATCGTCTACTGTATGATATTTTTTACTGTTCTGTCTGTTATGGATCAGACGATACGTGGATTTCAAAACACGTGGCAATAAAAATGTTTTCACGTACTGTTTTCTGTTAGTTGCGCTACTGAATTTCATATCTCACTGCGAGTTTGATGCGTTCAAAGAAATAGACCGTATAACTTCGTTTACAAAAACCATTTTGACTTTTGACTTTTCTTTGTCTTTTTTACTTAGATGATATGATTTATATCTATTAGCAATCAGTTTAAAAAGTTAGAAAAGTCCATAATCTAATCCCTCACCGGTAATATCTGAGCTAAACTATAATTAACGAGCTAAGGTAGAGATCGAAATGAGATAGATCGAAGAAAATATTCCTGCTTTGTAAGATTCTTTCTAAAATGATCGTTTCTTGAGTCATACTTTATCTTATATCTCTTCTTGCGAGGATTGTGATGCATGTAATCAAAAGTAATGTTCACCCATGAAAGAACATTATCGAGAAAGACTAATGAGAGCGCTATCTCTGTACACTGGGATTTTCTCACCATTTGATGACGCTATTGTCTTCAATATATCTTAGCCATATTCTAGAGGAATGTTTGAAAAAGGTATTCTGCCCTTTATAACGAGAAAATCTGAATTTAATCTTCAAGTTTTAATAGATCTCCCATGTACTGAATTCAAGAAAACACGCAAGGCAAAATCAGAATTTTCTTAATGCAATCGTTTTCTCTTTTGCAACGCTACCATGAATTGGCTTTTTTGTCCATCTCAATGTTCAGTAAAACTGCTATTAAATTCTTTTCTAATTATTGATATACTCAAAACAGTTTTGCTTATTATTATTACCGAAGATATCGCTCCATCACTCTGTACTATGTCTCTCGCTCATCATCTGTAGAACAGAAAGCTTTCACAATTATTTATAAACACAACATTGTTTCATGGTTTTTTACCTGCGTACTGTAGACATTGCCAATATTGCTAATGCCGATGCTAATGTTAGATAACTGCGTACAGATTATTATTATTAGGAGAACAACTATTTTATGTTCGATATAAACAAGAGGAAATATCTTCTCAAATATAAAATTTGAAGATTATGAATGTTAATCAGTAAAAACAACTATTAATATGTATGATGAGAACATGAACAAAAAAAAAGAATATATAAACGTTTTTTTCTCTAATGGTTTCTTTTATTTCTAGATGTTTTAACGACTATATACAATCTGTTTCCTATTGAAATTAATCGCTTTATATTTTTAAAAACGTAATGAACGAATGAAAAAAATCCATCGTTCTCTAATAATTATGATTTCACAATTGAAACCTATCATTTTCGTTTCTCTTCTGTATATTTTTCTTTTTCTATCGTACATCTTTCTTTCTCTCTCTCTCTCTCTCTTTCTCTCTCCATATCTATGAACATAGAAATAGTTGAAAAAGTAACGAACGACATTTATTTGTTAGTACAACGGTGGAAAACAAATGTGTTTTCTGTTCTCTATTCCATTGAATCTCTCTCTATTCTAAACCAAAGAGATACAATCAGTAATGTTAAAGCCGCACCTTCTTCGTTTGAATGAATAGAATAGGTGTGGCAAGGCTGTTGTGTCAGGAATAGCGGCATCATATCGAGACAGCTTTTTTACAAAAAGAGCTTAAATCGACTTGGATTAGAGCTATACATATATACCTTAGAATATATGATATGTCTGAATTTGAAAACACTATTCTCTCAGCGCAGCCTCTGCCATGCCAAAACGATGGACATCCCTGTCAGTATAAAACATTCTGCAAACGCAACATTTACATTAATTTCTTGAAAAGATACTTATTCATGCCTGTACAAAATCAACTAAAAATTCTTGTCGTTATAATGAGTGGCAAAAGTGGTACATATATTAGGTCGTCTTGACATTGTCGATTGTTTTCTATTTTATTTTTTTAATAGATATTCTACTTAAATTTCTCTGATTCTATTGTATTCCTATTATTCTCTGGTTCGTTAGACCAATTTCATGTATTATTTGACTCGCCTTTGGGAAACACTTGATAATTTGCTTGAATTATGTAATATGTTTTATAACATGCGCGAAGACTAACGAACAAGAGAGGGAGAGAGAGAGAGAGAGAGAGAGGGAGAGAGGAGAGAGAAAAGGGAAGAATCAATTATAAAAACGAAAACAAACTACAATTTAAACTTCTGGTTACTCTCAAGTCGTTCGTTTAAATGCATCATTGAGTCACTATTATTATTATTATTATTATTATCATGGTACAATAACGAATTCCCCGAACATTAACATTCAAATTTTTCTTAACGAATTTTAATTATCTAACGACCGTCTTCTGGACCCGCCACAGAACTGATAATTGACTTAATTATATCGAGGCAGACTAACGCAAGAAATAGATAGTGACTGGTCGAATGCTAAGAACGGATGGTTCAGCCAATAAGACATGTTAATATTGCGAGCTTCCTCGTCGTTCTAAAGATCCCATAGACATCGATCAGTTCTCCACAGAAGTTCTCATGTTTGTTAATTATCTCTAATTTCTATTTCAAAAAGACCTAATAATAATTCATGTTTAGAAGTATTGAAGTGTGGATTAGTCTGTTGAATCCGGAAGCAGATATGCACAATACGTCAGCGAGAATAGAAAGTAGGCGGGGTGCAAGTTTTTAGGAGAATACTAAAAAATTTTAGGAGAAAGGTAAAAATCTGTTTTACGGTAACGATAATGTTTTCTTTTATCCGTGGAAGGGTTCGTACTTCTTGTTGAAAAGACACCTTCACTCTGACGGCGTCCTCTGACCCTCTTTGATGTTAATTGATGAAAGTTTGTTGTCCACAGCATTTTTCGACAAAACGAGAATCCATTTCTGAAAGAATGTTCTTTCTTCGAAATTAATTCAGGGAGAACAACAAAGAGTTTCAGAGAGATAAAAAATAATTATATCGTGTTGAATTAGTAAGGGAAAATTATTATTCATATCCGGGCAACAATCTATATGCCTTGCATACTTGTCAATTATTGTGATAGAGTTATTAAAGAATAAACTATAATCAAATTCAATTTGATTTATATAGAAGAGAAACAATCATGATTATCTCTTAAACAGTCTATATTCTTATCAGTAGAAAAAGATAATTATATTAGCACTCACTTATGATCAGAAAATAATCCATTTCCTGTTGTGGTTGATGATAATAGAGTACGTTGTATTGATAGTTGAGCCATTTTTCAAAAATTACGGCTTTCCAATATAAATCTAAAATAAAATGCAAAACTGTTAACATATTAAACTTCACAGAAGATTAAGTTGGATTTTTTAAATGAAATCAATATTTTTCTTGAGGGGAAAAAAAATTTTAAATTGGCGTAGGAACCAAACTTCTTAAGGCGCCATTATGTCTAACCAGTAGGCGAATATTAAGAACAATCGAATTAGTTAATTGTTTAAATAATATTTTTATAGAGAGTATTTATCAATAGATCAAAAGGAGAATAAAGATGATCAGTATATTTTTATAAGAAAAAGTACAAACGGCAAATGGTGATTATAATGAACATTCATCAAGAAAGATGTTCATATTTTGTCATCAGACTTATTAAAAAGTTTTAATAACAATTGGCTCTGAACATTGAAAATTTACTCTCTCGTGTTTCAGCTAGTTTCTTACACTTATCGAGTATTAAAAAAACGTTAACGTACTGCAATCAAGAATAGATAAGATCTTCACTTTCTTGATATTCACTGTCAAAAAGAATTCAACGCATGGTGAGTAATATTGAAAAAATGAAATGAGAGATACGTCTAGTATCTATTCGACTGAATAAATCTGATATGTCATAAGTGATTGTATATTTAGTTTTTCACGAAATTTAGTATAAGAAAACTAGTCTTTCTTAAATCTATTAGATATTGAGTTTAAATATCTAAACCTTTTTGCTCTATTTGGTCATTGATGAGAAAACATTTGTGTAATTGGAATTATACTCTATATGCACTACTAAAAATGAGGTTTTTGTTTAGTTTTTGTAAACAGGCTATTTAGCACATACACTAAGACAATTTCCTTAATGTCACTACTTATTTTCTCAAGTTGTTAAAAGATCACCTAACAAGTCAATAAAAATTAAAAAAAATTATGCATATGCCAACACACTTCTCCGTGTCGACGCTTGATTACCTATGTGTCATATTTGAGAGTATTTCTCGATATGTTCAAGTGTTTACTGACAAGTTCTTGTGTGCTCCCATACTTTCTTACCAAAAATAATCTTTCAAATTTAAATAGTACACAATAACAACAAAAAAACTAAAAGTACCTCATGACTATGTCATTTTTATACTCAATTCAATATACTTGGTAGGAAGAAACGAATAACACAATAATAATAATCACGGACTCCTGCAACTGATAATCTATTATCATTACATTTTAGGAATGAAAATATGCTCTAAGCGGAACATTGAGAGAAATAGAAAAACGGACTTAAGTGTATTTTTTCAAAAAATGAGCAAAATATACGAATGGTAAGAAAGGCAAAATTTCTATGTCGATATACTGTTAAAGACAGATCTTTGAATAAAGATCTACAGCTAAACATTGAAATCTCTAACAGTTTTTTAGAAGATAGAAAATAGTTCTTCTGTTCAATCCAAAGTGCAAAGAAACTTAGAAATGATCAGTTTAATACTATTATAACCTACGAGATATTTGTTTTGATGATGAAAATAATCTTTCCTATAGATATATAAATCTTCCTAAATTTTGAATTAAAATTATTAGCTATTACTCATTTTCACATAACGGAAAATGGCAGTGTATAAAGTCAATAACAAATGATATTAAATTTATTCTGTAAATAGAACAAACCGTAAAATATAAGTAAATAGAGTCAATAGTGACAGCAGTAGTTGTATATGTTTAATTTGAATATTCATCAGTCTGTAAAGTAACATTCTCATTCACATATTCATCATAACACATTTATTCCTAAATCCATGACAAAATTGTCTGAAAATTAAATAAACAGTGTCAAAGTCAGAATTCACCGTAGAGATTTACACCGTATAGTTAGGCTTCTGTGATTTGTTTAACGATACAATCACTGCTCATCATTGTACAAGATCTTTCTTTTATTAAATAATTAATGTAATTAAACACATCAAACAAGTAGGAAACAAGATAATGATTATTTTTCTATTTTAATCAAAATGCTCTAGGCTAATACTATACAGGATTAGACATCTTGCTATTCGCTTCAATAAATGTTCAGTGTTCAGTGGCGGTATGTTTTCACTTTTATGTTTTTTTGACGGAAATGAATGAATGATTGCAAACACAGACACACACTGCGAAGTTTGAAGAATTTATAAGAACCTTTCTGTAGTGACAAAAGTAGTTGTAACCTTTTCTTCGATTTTGACTTTCTGTCACTCACAAAAAAGTCGAAAGAACATGAAAGAGAAGAAGTTAATAGGTCTCTAATTAAAAAATCAAGGTCAAGGACTTATCACCAACAGATTAGAAAACGACTAGTATGTTTTGCTTTTTCATTTTTTAAAAAAAAGAGAATCGATCAAAAAAATCGTTACTCAACCGTTATTATTCGAAGAGCAAGAAGAATATTCGATTTGTTATGCTCTTTTGGAAAGGCGCAATTATAGAATATTGATTTTATATCTTTAAGGTTGAATTTTTAGTATTTTAGAAAACATCTTGTGAAGGACAAAATCCTCTTATTCTGCTTAAGTTTGTTTTGGAGATTGCACCTAAGTGTAGTCAGTTGTATTCCTTGCAAACTCAAATGAGCTTCTTAATTTTCTTATTTAGCACCTCTCTTTTGAAAAAAGCCACGCCCACTTTTCCCAAATTCAATAAGAACATACTAATTCAAACAAGGTCAAAAAAGACGTTGAAACAACAATTTTCAAAAAAAAAGGTGTCTATATCTTTCAATTCGTTATCACATGTACATATATCAAGATTCGTTCGTTTTTCTCTTGTATGTATTTATGTATAAAATGATATAGAATAAGAGATCCGTAACACGTCAAAAAATCGCGCACTTTTCAAAATGTGTAGGTTTGAAAATGGAAAGCTCGTCACATAACGATATGTATAGATAAACTAGATCAATTTAGAATATAAACACACTCATTTTTTTGTCATTATAATTAGTTGCTGTCAAACTACTATTTCGCTTGCCATAGGCTAAAGAGCTTAAGTTTTACCTTCAAATAAAATTTGGGATTATAAAATATTGGCCAACTGACAGAATAACACAGCTATAATTAAGACAAAGACGATAATTATAGCGCGTGGCTTAACGATGAGAAAGAATGAAAATGTCTATCTAACTGTTTCTAATTTAATTGTCATTTATATCGTTCGAATGTTAAATGAATATTTCACGTGATGTTTGTCTAGTCTAGAGAAATAAATTATTAGTCAGTCAGTTTAAAATAAACTTTTAAATTCATCAATTAAACATTTAGAACACCTGACTGATTAGCGAGAAATTGTCAAAGAGAAGTGTGGAAAACATATATACTCTTAGTACATACCATACTGACTTTACAATGTGAACAGAATAAATATTACTAATCTAGATTTTAACAATTTTGTTTCCACTAGGAGTGTACTTATCACATGGCACAATGTTATTGTTTCAACTGTCAACATATTATTAACTGTGTGTGTATATAAGACGAGAAAAAAAATAAAGTTTTAACAATATGTCAAGGACATTTGATGTTTGTACATTCACACTGACGATGTATAGACTATGTCTATTCATATGAGACATGGAAAAGTAGTCGAGTTTTCGTCGGCTAGTGTTAGTTAGTTGATAAGTATTAAAAAACACGTGCTTCTTTTGTCATTTATATGCGCTGATATTAATACTTTATAGATAGCGCTAAGCAGATGGAACAGTAATAATCGGGGGTCTCAAATTATTTTTTTCGAATGTGGAACAGAAAGTTTCGAATGGGGGAGAAAATGGAGGACGCTTATTTTAATGAAATAATGTCATGTCAATCTAAAATACCCGATGAGCTCAACTAAAGTCACATATTACAAATAAATTAAAATCAATTTTGTGAATTTTTTAACCATTTATCGTTAGAATTACACTGTCGTTTCTTTTTATAGTTCTAATTTAGAATTCATTCTTTCAAAGCTAATTTTTCAAATTTCAAACAATAGATTTTTTCGTTTCAATTAGGTTCTATCGACAAATTCATATCACACGTCTGATAAATCCTGGGACGCGCAAGACAGGAAGAGTGATGTTTTGAGAGGCGGCTCACGAATCTCAGAATAACACTATTTACTACAAACTACCCAAACACCTATATGATAATGATCTTTATGACAAGATATGCTAAAGAGGGCATAAATCTTTGCATATTATGTAATCACCCGGCGATCTTTTCATCTCAAATATGACGATGAAGTAGTAGGACTTCAAATAAATTGCCAGTGGGAACGAAATATATCCCCCATGGGAGATTTATTTACTGGGGGATAAAATGGTCGAGTGAGGGACTGTCCCTGACATCTAAGAATTCTGGTAATAATACGAACTGTCTGAAGATGATGTTCTCCAGTAGACCTCGTCATATGGGACAAAATCGACCTACATGCCAGCCATGGTTCATATGCTAAAAAATTGAAGTGATCACTTATGGTCTCTAGAAGTAAAGAAAAGAAGCATTTTATCGTCTGTCGGTCAGTTATTTTAATATTGTGTTAAATCACAAAACTAATTTAACCATTGTAGACACATAATTTCTGTTTCAAATGGGAGTTTTATTTTTGGCACACAAATATTCACAGCTTTTCTATCTACATATCTATGTATATATCTAACATAATTGAATCTTACGCCTAACCTCTTTTTAAGAAAAGTACAAAACAAAAATCACCGCATCTATTTTTTTTTTTTGTAATTTTGTTCAGCATGTAACACAATTAATCGAAAACAAACCGTGCTGAGCATATTGGATAACTCAACATGTTCGCTTTTATTCAACCGCGCTGTTTTTTTCCTGTTTGTTGAAATTTATATTGATCATATTTTCTATCTAACAAAAAAATGACACTTAAACTCCTGCTATCATGGAAAATGAACGAAACGTTATAGTAGACCTTAAAGTTATTATTATTAGTTTTCAACTAGACGTGTAATTCACACAAACACATCTTTACGGCTATTTAAACATCAAAGAAAAATATTGATATTATCTGGGCTTTTTTCATGTAAACTGTAATCGTATCAAAAAAGAGGACAGGCTGGTACAGATATGTTGACGAGAAATGATTCATTTGAAAACTAAAAATACGCTTTTTTTAGGAAATTTCTTTTCTCAGTTGCCTTATCCATGCGAGATCTTTCGTTAACTCTAATTTTTTGGAAGATTATACTCTTAATTGATTATTAGTAGTCTCAAAAATAGATGTATATATGAACTCGAGTTAATTATCATGTTATATATTCATTTCTGCTAACACGAAAACTTTTAGTCTGAATGTCCTAACTACTAAGTAGGAACTTGGTGTTTTATTTTAGAAATAAGTCGTTCAGATCAAAATAGTTTTAAATACTTGTTCTTGTATCCAAAAAACAAAGTTTAACTATCTCTTTATTTATGTCCCAGTAGATATATTTCATGTTTCCGAACACTAATAAGGTTAAAATAGTCTGTATACAAAAAATATTAGAAAAATTCACTACAATTATAGAAAAAATTGAAATTTGTTTTATTATAATTCTCCTAAGCAAAATTTCACCTTGCTAAAATATCAATATTAATTAGCTGCGAAAAAAAATACAGAATAGAATCTATATTAATTTTTATCACTTTATGATTTTAAATCTTCAGAAAAATTACAAAAAAACTATACGAGAATAAAATCACCGGGGTATGTATACGACAAAACAAAATAGCAAAATCTTTCAACTTTAAATATTATTCTTTTGCTTCAGTCACAAATGGATGTTTTTCTAGTTCACTGCACGATGGTCGTTTATTTGGATCATGAATAAAACATTTTTCAAGAAAATCGACACAGTTTTCAGATAAATGACCTGGGATTTGAGGTTTATCTCCATAAGCTATTCGATATTTGACATTTAAATAATAGACGTTACTAGCAACCGTATAATTCGACCATGGAATTCTTCCTGTTAACATATGAATAAGAGTACAACCAAGACTCCATATATCTGATTTTGTAGTTGTTTCATTTTGTGTGATGGTTTCCGGTGACATAAAAGCAATTGATTCTCGCATAGAGATAACTTCTTCGACATCGGACATTTGTTGGTGTTGATTTCGTTTCATGAATTTAAAGTCATAGACAAAATTCAAATCACCTTAATAAATTATAATAAAAGTTAGAAAGATTGAATATTCAAAATGGAAAAAACTGCACAGCTATAACTGATTATATCGTAATTCTATTCTTTTTTGTAACTATCATAATCCTATTTCTGTAAACTTACCTAATTTTATGTGCCGTTTGGTGGTATCTGTTAAGAATATGTTGACACATCGAATATCACGATGAATAATACCTTGATCATGTAAACATGAAAGAGCTGAAAGAAGTTGTTTAACATAGATTTGAACTAATTTTTCATCTAAAAATGCATAACCGTTTTGTGTTGAATAGATCCCGTCATCAATCAATTTTGAGTTTATATCGTCTTCGGCAATTGAGCATGTTAATTTTACATTATTTGGATTTTCATTATACGGTAGACGACGATGAGTAGGTGTAATGGCGATATTTAAATCCGAATCGCTTGTGGTTGTTACTGTTGATGTCGAAGATCGTGTGCGACCGTCTTTGGTAGGAACAGTTGCCGTGGCAGCACTTGACTCTACTTTTGATCTGAAATAGATGCAACGTATATGATTGATGTTCATAGCGAGATCATCGTTAATTCTTACCCAATTAATAATTGGGCAACCGTTCCAAAACTACAGTATTCCATGAAAAATAAAATATGATCTTGATCCAATGCGATGCCTCGATAACGTATGAGATTTTCATGCTGAATATGTACTAATGGAACTAGACAAAAAGCAACTCATATTTAATGTGTCATTAGTAGAAACTCAACTTACTTAATTGTTCCAAAACTTTACCGATTGCTTGAGCATCATTGGGTTGTATGCGATATTGTTTATAGCACAATACCTCACCTGTATCGGTTCTGCACATATAAGCTATAGAGAAAAAAGAAACAAATAACCAGAGTAATTTTTACATTAGGAAGGCTGCCCCTCCTCCTCCCCCCAGCAAAATCGACCGAAAGTCTCTAGTTTAGATAAAGACTTATTTTAGTTAGTATCTTTGTCTCCTTAGGTGGGTTCTTAAATATTTTCTAGGTTTTCGAAAGTCCCTCCAACTACACGGTTTTCTAAAAGACCTTACAGTTTTACAGAATCCAGTTTTTCGACAAACCACATTGTCATGTATAGGAAAGTATTCTCTTCAAAACGAGACGTTATGGACATCAGTACGACATTTTATCGTAGCGTTAGGACTGAGTTACTGTACCTCCTAAAAACGCGTCGACTAATTAAAATGGATGTTAATTAGCAGTATTAAGTATTTGAAAGAATTCTCTATGCTGAATCGTAGAACAGAATTTTTCTGTTTGTTCAAAACAGAAAAGAAAATTGCATCGAATGTTGAGAGTAGAGTCTTGAGCTAGCCTTTATTTCCCTCCAAAATTAAAGTTTTCTGAAGGTCCTTTTGGGGCTTTCCATAGTTTTTACTTTTAAAATCCAATAAAAATGCCATTTCTATCTAGTGGTCTGAAAATATTTTTTGTAGCAACCTATAGGTTGTTTTCGCACCTTGCTTTCATTTGGGGAATAGTTATACGTAGGACAGTCAAAGTTGACCTTTATCTGTATTTTCCTCAATCTTGACCAGCTCTTGCACTAGTTTCAGATATAGCAAAGAAAACTGGTTAAGTCTGACACAAAACTTCGGTAGAGCTTGGGAGTTTTGAATAATGAAAACATACGATTTTTGATGCAAAATCTCAAGGCTTGTAACATCCCTAGTTATAGGTATAGAACTGAAAATTATTTTGCGAATATCTTGTACATTTCCTGAAATTCTGGTCAAAATCAGAAGTAAAATAAAGTTTTTCTCGATAAAGGATGTCTGAAGCACTGTCCGAAACCGTACAACTTCGCTTGCGGTATTCTCACTTCAGTTGCTTCTGACTATTAATATTTTCTTGTTTTCTTTTTCTCAATGGCTTGACAAGACAAAAAAGTCAATGAAACTTCGTGCATTATGGTCGAAATGAAAGCTCTTTACATGTTGATTTCTTATAACTAAAAAAGTGATTATTGATAGATAATAAACAAATTATTGTTTCTAGATAAAAGCTATTCATTACCGTGGTAAGAGAACAAGCTACCAAGATGGACCACTGGACTTATAATGGGACTGTAAGTTGCCTGTTTCTATTAACATTTAACTCGGCTTCTTATCCTCTCTGGCTTGGGTTCTCCCTACTTTGAGGTTAGATCACGATAAACTCTGTCTATTTCCTAAGCATTCCTTGAGGAGAGGGCTACTACCCCCTCTCGCTCCATACCCATTCACATGTCACAGTTTCCTACTAAGGCAACTGTACACACATGGTTTTCAGTTTAAGGCAGTGGGAGGGAAGGGTGTGAACGATTGTAGATCTAAGATGGTTTCCTCAGGTAAGTGTCCCAAGGTTATGTATGCAAATGGAAAAACAATATTCTTTCAAGTAAAATGATAGAAGATGAGGGTACTATAGAGAGAAGATAATTTAATCGTGTTCCTTGTTAGCATGTGGGAAGTAACGGAGGACGTTGTCTTGTGTGGGGTTAGCTTGTTTTACCACTATCTTCTGAAGTTTCTACAAGAAGCGAGTTAAGATAAGTTTAGGTGCGTACCATAGAACTCGCCTAGCTATTAAAAGAAGAGTGGAACATAGTGGCAAGAACATCAGCATAGAGGACGTAAGATCCAAACGGACGCCTCAAGAGTCGTTCTCTCGATCACTATCTGTCTTTTAAAGCCGACTTTCTTTTCAACTTCCTCTAAGTAATTTATGCGCTCTTAAGGTACAAAAGTAGAATGAGAATGATGAATGTTTCCTGTGCATGGAAAACAGCCATCCAAAGTATAGCAATAATCACACTTTCATTCACATGGAACGTGCACACAAAAAGATCACGAGTATAAGCTGTTTCTAGTACCTATTTTTTGACATAGTTACAATACCAGAGACACTTGCAGCCGAACTAAGATTTTCATATACTTTTTCAGTTTTCATGCAATGGGCCTGTTGTGACCGTTACAAGAGCCTCCTGAACAAGTCGTCAAAGACACATTAAAATTGTTCAGTTATTAAGAGTGATATGAATGTGATCCGGTCGATAACCCATGATTGAATGTGCGCCTTTAGCTCAGAGGCCAGAGCGTGTGCCTCCGGAGCACAAGGTCGTCAGTTCGAACCTGACAAGGCGCTTTGATTTTTTATGTATAACAGAAATAATAAAATTATTGTTCATTCTTCACTCACAAAACACGATTTAATTTTTTGATAAAAATACATGTAACTTTTCCTTTATATTTTATCTATTTGCAAATATTTAAGTAATACATCGAGCCTTCTCGCATATTTAAAAAGGTCAATCGGACTTTATGAATTAGATAACGATGTTACACTTACAGGTAGCAAATTGTCCACGAGCTAATAAGGAAAGTTTGTGCCAATTACGTATTTTTAATCGAGCTAAGTCTTCTTGTACTTTAGCTGGAATAAGTGACATTCGGCTAAACCAAAAAACTTAAAGAGATGAAGGGCAAGCAAAGAATGAGAGATATGCACGTACGATCGGTTATCAGCTTGTTTTATTTGTCCAATAAGACCATCGTTCAATCGTTTTCTATCAATTGTTCTATCCATGTTATCTAATTTTTCGACAATAGTTAATGGTGCTCTAGTTTTTTTTGCTTTTGGTAATGAGTTTTTTCGTGGTGGAGCACTAGTTTTAAACGGATTTTCGTGTTTGTCATTACCATCGATTATATTTGCTGTTGGAAATGTTGATGACACGTGTGATAGTGATGAATGATAACCGCCGCCATCACCGTGATGGTGATCACCAAGTAAATAAACGATAGCATTTTGCATATTTTGATAAAATCGCCCAAATGTTTGTTCATCAATATGTTTTGAATAATTTATATCACAGGCGTGTTTCAAAAATGTGATGCCAGGCATCGACCATACCGGAAGTGTATTGCCTTGTCCTGTGGATTTTTTGTAAACAAACTTTAACCAATTTGAAGCGAGATTTATTTGTCGTTGAGCTTGTAATATTACACTATTCTGATCTAATTGAGATGCAAAATAAGACGTTTCTCGTACAACATCCATGGCAAATGCAAACAATCTTTCTTCAGTATGCTAAAACAAAGGAAAATAATTGAATATACTAAATTTGATGGTCCAAATTCAATAAATTACCAAAAATGTTCGATAAATGTCTCGTTTTTCATCATCTGATTTTTCTTTCGTCAAATTTTCAAGCAGTAGTTCAAATTGATCAATATCAGTGCATATATTTTCGCTCAAATTCAATACGGCATGATTTAATTCGTACATAGCATGATCTATTTTTTCAAAACATGAACGTTTTTGTTGTTGTGTTCGATCTAATTGTAACAGATCATTTTGACTTAAATGTAGATTTTCTAATTTTGTATGGAACATTTTAAGAAATTCATCCAATTGTTGAGTTTGTTGAGTTAATAGAAACATGGATGTTGTCTTCCAATTTAAATAGAGTGGTTTTATCGATGTTAGAAATACATTAAAAAATGTCGATACTGTATGTTCAACACCACGCCATTCGCCGGCTAATTCATCGGGTACCGGTACACATAGAATATAAACAGATGAACGATTTTTCGATTGTAATGATTCATTCAATTGTTGCTGTTCATCCGATAGTTTTGTTGTTGTTGAAACAGGAGTTGCAGATTCTATAGTTGATTCCAAACGAAATGAAGATGATAATGTTTTAAATAATTGAATTTTACTTTGATTATCTTCAAAATATTCAGACGAAGCAAATAATAAACATTTTGAGTGAGAATTTTTGTCATTTGGTTTGATGGATTCATCAAATGGTTCTAAGAGATAAAATGGTAAGAAACGAAATAAAGCATAGCACAAACTGACATTTAGATAGTTGATAAAATAGAACTCAATAACAAAGTATTCAATAACAACCATATTTAATTTTAAATTAAATTGTAAAAAATTATTATCCATTTCATAATAGAATGGATCCTACAAAATTTAGAATAACGTCGGATAGAAAAAAGCTAGAGACTTGCGGTTTTTTGGGATTCAATAGCCGAAGCAAGGGGCACATAAGTATATGGAAAGAAAAGGTAAAAATTACCACCCGAAGATGGTATCCCTTATAAGCCTTTGGAAGGGTAGATTGCTAATATCTGATACAGAGGGAAACTAGTGTTAGTATCGCGGATCACCCGTCCGACATCATACTCACTACGTTGTGATGAATAATACAGCTCCTCTGGCTAGCTCGCGTAGCTTTCTGGAAAGCCAGTACGTGCTTAGTGAGTGTGTGTTCAATTAATTGGGCGAAAGAACTCTGCGTCAGGTTAGCCTTCTGTCCATAGCTGTGGTTGATGACTAGTAACGAGATGAGTAACCATGTCAGAAGCTTGTCAACTGTAGGGAAGATATCGGGCTTTAATAAATGAAACTGCCATTCGGCAGCACCCTCTACCGGTAACGGCAGCCGCAAGGCGGAGTATTCTTTCTTTTTCCTTCCGATCGGTCTGTGTCAGTTCGAAGTTCACATCTATCATTGTTATCGCTGAGCTCCAATTTTCGCAGAAGTTCTGGGACTCGTATTTTTTCACATGTAGTATCCCTGGAACTGAATAGTTTGTTTTTAGAGAAAAATTTAAAAAACTATATTAGTTGACCCACTTTTAGCTTTTCCAAGGGGTTTACTATTTTGAAATGGATAATAAATATGTAAGATTGTAGTCATCATTTTAATAAGTGTATAAAGTGTGCATTCTTGCGACTATGAATAACTCTTAAATACGTACCATATTTAATTCTTTCAAATCTCGCTGTTTTTAATATGGTTAAAAAACGTTTACATATTGGTTTTTGTAGATAAATATTTAATGTCATTGCACAATCATCATAAATTTGTTTTGTCTCACGTAAAATGGCCATTGTTAATTTTTTATTATATTTTTTGTTAATTTTCTTTCTGATGAATTCCACAGGCATATCCACAGGTAAATCCATAGGCGATGATGGATGAAATATTTGAATGTAGTCTTTAAATTTTGAAATAAATTGTGACCACATAAGCAAAAATTTTTCACCAACATATTCTTCTTCGTTTAGAACTGTGGCATATCTTTTAATGTATTTCCATTGATCTTTGAGCATACAAACAATAGACGAGAACAAATTTGATTTCAACGTTATCTCGACATATTTTTCGACATATTTGACAAACTCATGAATGGTGGCAATGATATGTTGATCAAATTTTACAATTTCTTGTTCTAATTGTGCTAATTCAGGCTTTTCTAAACAAAAACGAAGTCAGATTAATGACGTACCTGAAATTAATTCTTCGTGACCTTAAATATTTAACCATATTAACCTTACCTTTTTTTATTAGAACAGAAACTGCTAACGATAGAATAATTTTGAGATTTGAATGATATGTATACTGTGTCTAGTTATCTGACTTATTCTATTTGATAAAATCCATTTTTCTCAAACACAATAAGTCAGATAACTAAGTTCACATATATCATATTGTAGCTAAAAAGATTCTCTACAAAAAATGTATGATCTTTCTTGGTGTGTCTATCGAAATCTGTGGTAGACTGAATGTCGAGTGTTTATCGGCTATAGAAGAAAAATATAGAGTATAACTCAGCAACGATAGTACGTTGAAATTTCATATTTGGAATCAGCCAGAGGTGAGTAAGTTCGATCATCGAGTCCAAGTCTGCTATAGTTCGGGTTTGCGTCTTCTATTGTACGACTTTTATGCTAGAATCTTTAATTTATCTCATCTACCTATGAATCTCTATTGTTGCTTAAGTTTTCAGCGGATTCTGATTCTAGTGGTGTCCGACACATCATATTATATTGCTCTATTTCTCTTGTAAATTCACAGATTAATCAATATAGAATTTTATTCGAAAAATTCAAAGAACATTAAAAATAACTTTCTACATGTCTGAGTTCGAGTCCACTCCGAATATAGTCAGAATTTCACTCATTTCTGTAATCAACGCATTTGACTCTACTGGAAACAGTATATCTCATTCAAATTCCAGAGTTACACTGGGTTATGTTCCCTCGTAAGTTAGAAACGGATAGAAAACCTTGGCAGGGCAGCCCCTCTCGGGACCAAAATGGTAAAATTCCTTTGCAGGTTTTTCACTTTTAATAAGTAAAGCACTGCTACATTATATTAATATTGTAATATAGAGAGACAGTGTGGGACTTTTATCTGTTTTAAGATAAAATATGTTTTTTTTAATAATTTAACTTTATGAATACGTTTATGATGAATACACCTGGGAAGAGGGGGAGGACGTAGACAAATAGGTCAAAATGAAGGCTTTTTGAGTATAAAACTTCAACTCCTTTTCCTTTGGAGATACTGAAGACGTTTCATAAAATCGTCTACAAACTGAAAACCGATTAACTAAAATATAAGTCTCGTAATCCCATAAGTTCACCCACTCACCGAGTATATCGTGTATCATTGTCATAAAATATTGTCTAATAAGCACACTACTATGTATCAATATTTTACACTCATCGATCAATAATAGAATTGCTCCTGTGGTTGGTTGCCGATTTGTAATATCAAATTTTCTATCATTATGATATTGATGCCATGAAAACATTAAATCAAATGGGATGAAGGCTAGAAAGATGTATTGTGGATATAGTGTAGGCAAATGAAATATTTCTGTATAATCATGAAATTTATCATAATCTAACCAAACATGAGAATGTAAACGATAACAGATTTGAATTAATTTTATTATGATAGAAATTTCATCCCGTGATAATTGAGATGATATTGACGTATATTGTATATTATTGAGAAATGAACATGGATCGGGAAACAAAGCACTACCAGGAAGATGGGCGTACAACGATGAATTGAGATAATCCAGAAAGTAATTTTGTCGTTTGATAACAGTACGATCATTTGCTAACATTTTTTGAACTAATGTTGGTGCTGAAGCTGGTTGAAATGTCGAAGTCGTAATTGTTGGAGTACGCTCTAAACGTCCCATAATATTAGTGACGTTTTGAGTTCGTTTATCAACGTTGATTATTGCTGTGGCTAAAGCAAAAATTTTGAATAATTTAATGTTTGCACTAAAAACATTTTATAACTATTCTTACTTAAATTAGTAGTCTGTTTTTTATCTTGTTTTCGTCGTAATTGTCTATTAAGTATAAAAAATTCATTCATCAATTTTTCTGGTTTAGCATTTAACATGTAATCGTTTGAAAATAATTTATTATTCTGATTTGTTGACATACTAAAAGCTAATGATGGCATTAATAATTGTTGCCAGGTATTTTGTTTAATTGTATCTCCGAACGGTGTCATTATTGACAAAGCAGCCGTTGTATCCGATGTAGATGATGAATTTTCAGTAGTTTTACTCGATGGCTGTTGTTTTCGAAATGTATAATGTAATCGTTGTAACAATGATCCATGTTTCGTTTGAAAAATAGATGCTATTAGTTCAACTCGAGCATGCGTTAATTGATCGGCCATGTATCGATAATAATAATCGGTTAATGATGATGACTGAGTTAATTCAACACTGTGCGATGATGAAATTCTTTGTCGACGAGAATGTAGTATACTGGCAGATGGAGGAGTCGAAAATGAAAGAGATGTTGAGGATGTTGAAGTATAAGAGACAGCAGACACATTTGAAAGTGTGGATAATTGTTGACGATAGAATGCAGATGATGGCGGATTATTCAGCAGATAACTACCAGGTGTTGGTGGCAAAATTGCAGAACCAATAGGAATTGGAGAGTGAAAATTAGAAGAATGAGGTTGTAGATGAAATGGTGGGGGATGACTTGAAGAAGGAGATTTTTCTTCAGGTGATACATCACGATAAGAATGATTGTCCAATGAAGCAGAAGCGAAAGAGGTAGGAGTGGGTGGTCGACTAGCAAATAATGTAGAATTTTCATGTAATTTTGGTGCAGCAGAACATTCAACATGTGGCCATAAATTACATTGACTACAAGACATTATTCGTCCAAGAACGATTATTAAACGATTTATTTCTGAATGTAAATTATACCAAGCCTGGAATACTGCTAATTTTTCATAGAAAATTTTTCCATGGTGTGTTTTTGAATTAAATCGATTATCGTACAGTTCTAATTCAGCTGTCGATGGAAACAAATACAATATTTTCTCCCATTTTATAAATAAAAATTTCAATTGATGATCGACATCTGAACAATGATGTAAATGTTCATCGGACAAATGTTTTCGAACCGTTGTTCGTGGTAAGGATTTTGTATCTAAATGATTATGTTTAAATTCATATTTAAGAAATGCATGAAAAAATTCATCTAATCCTTGCTGACGTTCCGAATCAATTCGTTGTTTTTCCTTTTCAATTCCTTGTTTATCTAATGTATTTATTCCATGAATATATACTTGTAATTCATACCATATTTCATTAAAATATTGTTTTCGTTTCTCAGCATTCTCTTTTATATCATAGACATCCAATGAATTTGTTTGTTGAACCATATTATTTTTATAACGTTCAATTCGATTGCTCAAATCCCAACGTCGTTCATTACCTAAAAAGATATATAGGATTTAAAATATTCCAATTCTAGCTTAGCCGTTTACCTAAGGATATTCGACGCATTTGTCGCTCATTATCTTTTGTATTTTTTGATTTTGATTTTAGTTGGTAATATTTTCCTTCATTATCATCTTTGTGTTTCTGTTGATGAGATTTTTGCCTCCATTGTCGATCTTCATCTTTTTTAACTGCTGCTAATGGGTTTTGTAAATTATTTAAATTAATTGATGGTGATGCAGGTTCATCTTGCTGCTGCTGTTCTGTTTTACTCGTTGTTGAATAAGTATCATCAATATCGGATGTTAAAACTTCAATACCAAGGTCTAAACCGTCTTTTTTATAAGGAAATAAACGTCGACGAAAATGATTTGCTTGGGAAAATGATGGCCGATATGTGCCTGTTAAACGTTTCGTTGGTACTGTATATGTTGTGGTAGCCGATGATGTTTCTAAATTAATCGGAGTGAACGATGGACGTGGTGATAAATGTTTATTCGTTTTTTTAGCCTTGGGCATTTTATATGGTTGTCAATTTATATGAAAACGTGTAGAAATATATTTTGTTTATACGACGATTAAAAACCGTCGCATTTTAAAGAAATTTTGATGATATTGACATTTTCAATGTCTGACAGATGAGCATCATCCATCAACCCATGGTGATCTAAGTTAGAATAGCAAAAGTAAATACCGAGTACGCAGATCTAAAAATAGACAAGTACTATTTCTGGAAAGTCATCTAGTTCAATCGAAGTTGAATTTAAGTATCTTTGTAAGACATCCCAGTGAAGGCATGTCCGAACGTGCACAATCGTCTATCACATAGTTCTTCTACAGTAGGGAGCACATTTTGATGAATTTTAGTGAAATCAGCAGTCTAAAAGTTATTTCATTTTTTATAAAAAAGCCTTAAAAGGCTTCTAGAAATCTCTTAAAATGGCTGAAGGGCGCTCAGTCAAGAGGACCGCTATTCAGGCCATGTCATTTTTCCATTATGAGACATTAAAAGATCATGACAATCAAGTCCCGTACGTAATCTTAAATAAGGAATTCGACGGGGATTAATAATAAATGAATTCACCTGTCATAGTAGTCGTAGTGTACTTCTACCTGAAGAAACTCTTCTATTGACAGACGGTCATCTTGTGTCAAATCGCTTATCAAATGAAACCCAGTGGATTATAAAGAATCGCGAATGCGGATTTCAAGTTCCGTTGGTGACCACGAGCCGCCCGTGGTTATAGTGCATACGAAATTATCTGTGTTCAAAAGCTTTTCTGCCATCAATAATATGTACAGATAGACGAAGAATTTTTATTTTGTCTTTTTGATGTTATTTTAGAAAATAACATAACTAAACAGTACGACTATGCGCAGTTAATTTTATACTTCGTTTCAACAGGTTTTATCTGCCAGAGGTGAAATCGATTCGGTTTGAAACCGAATCAGAGCGAACCGATCTCATATCTGCCAGATACAAGTGCTGCCGTAGATAGAGAGTTTAGTTTGGCTGGAAATTATAATTACACAGAAACGGGCAATAATATTGTTTTTAAAAATTCCTATCAGAAATATAAACGTTCACTTTCTCAGAGATAATAAGCAGACGCTTTTCTTTGTTTTAATTCTTTTGTTCTTGTAAAACAGCTGTTTTTCGTGATAACAAATAAATGTTTGTTTATTTGTGAAACTGAAGTGAACGCAATTATAAACAATTAAGTTGTTGTAAACACACTTTTCAGACGTTGTAAACAAAAGGGGTGGAGGTGGCCGATTACTATATCGGAGGCGGCATGTCAAATTGAAAACTTTATCAACGGCGGCTGCGCGTAATTTTAAAATTTTTTTCGACAGCAGCGGCGGCAGCAGCAGGCGTGGCTAAAACCTCTATTTGCATATTAATCTAGATGGCAACAGAAAAAAGTTATAATCTTAAATAAATCTTTTCCAAAGATTTTTAAAAGTTTTGACAAAGTTTCTCATCAGCGGCGGCGGTGGAAAACTCCAAAAATAATTTCTGCATATGGCAGTGGTGTGGAATTTTAAAATTTTCTTTCAGTGACGGCGGCGTAACTAACACCTCTAAAAAGGAGGACCTTGAGGAGGATACCTCGAGTTTCAGCTCTCTTTTAAACCTCAAACTCCCATTTCCTTCGGAAACCGGACTAGTCCTTGAAATTTTTCACAAAAATGGGGAAGTGTTGAACTGATGGAACACAAAGCATTTTTTTTTGTTTTCCACTTTGAGTTAATTTTAGAAAATGATGGGTTCAGCTTGATACAGTTTTAGGGCATTCTAGTTCGATTCGACTCGGTTCGAGGTTTTTGAAATAACAGAATGGTTCGACTCAGTTTGATAAAATTTCTGTTAATTTTAGTCCTTTCAAAAAACAAAAACACGAACCGATTCCGTTTCTATTATCTCCTAAGTTGCAAAAACCGAGGATTTAGGATTCATGGCGTCATTTACTACAAAAGAACGAAAGTATGTTCGGAGCTCACGATTGCGTGAATTTGTAGCAGATACGATCTAGTACAGTTCTTGAGCCTACATAGTGTGTTACTACGAAATTACACGAAATTTAACTTGGCAATTTTTCAAGGTGTCTGAATCTAGATTTTTCAGGGCTTTTCTTTATAAAAAAAACTGGATATTTCAGCAATAAAATAAATCTTAGACTGCTGGTTTCACTAAAATCCATCAAAATATTTTCTCTAAACGTGCTCTCTACTGCGTGAGAACTATGAGAGAGACGATCGTGCACGTTCGGGCATGAATTATCTGCAACGACTATTAAAATTATCTTGAAACTATTTTTTATTTAATAGTTTTCCGATAATCTCTTTCCAAAAAAATGGTAGATATCTTCATAATTTTTACCCATGATAACTTGAATTTTACGACGTCAAATGACTGAAAAACGCAAAGATTGAAACGTTAAACTCTTAGTTTAGTTACCTCTATCGTTATTGTTCTATGAAAAAACTAACTCTTCATGCTTGAAAAAACATTTATTAAAAGCAAACAAAAACAAGTACCAGTTGGTAGGAATCATATGTATGAATGTGAATATCACACGAAAAAGTAAAAAAAAAATACATGTATAAAAAAAACCCGATAACTATCATTTAAAATACATAATTAGTTAGCATTTCAAAAAAGTTCAAGACCAGATTCATTTTCAAAAAAACCTTTTTAATGATGTTTGCGGATCGAACAGATATTCTTGATACTTGAAAAAAATGTTACTACGATCTATCGGTAAAAATAAAAAACACAAGACTGTTCACAACGATTAACAGTAAAAATATCACATCAACAACTTGAGTTTACCATATATCGGAATGTGATGTTTGAACAATGATCGAAACGAGTCATTTCATCAACTCTTTAAATTATACTCCTGAAGATAGCACGTTGTTCACAACACAATCCAACTAATCGCAGATTTGTTCTGCTTATGTCTGGGCTCATCTGTCGTATACGCTTTTTACCGGGAATATTTGGCTAAAAATGCGCGATTCATCTGACCTTCATAAAGTAGATTGCACGATACCTACATTCTACACAACAGGTTTTGGAGCCAATCATTAAAAGTATGTTTCGATGAATGGCAAGTGGTGTCAGAGGACTGTCTATAGTGTTCGATGAAAAAAGTATATAAATTTCAGAGTAGTTTATCCTACAATATTTTCTTCTTCATATTTATCAATAATAGCTCTAATCAATTTACAGCGTGTGCTATCACATAAACATGGTACTGGATGTGCTTCAACTTGCATATTGTCTTCATCAATACTTGTACTACTATTGCTTGTTGGTGATTGATCTCTTTCATCATTATCACTGTCACTCATAGATGTTTTTGTTTTAACTTTTGCTGCAGGTTTTGTTAAAGATATCACTGATGACTTCCGCCGTCGTCGTCTTCTTTTTCTTTTATTATCTGATGCATCATCGTCAACACTTGCAGTACTTGTTGTATCATCATCTTTAACGTATTTCGTGGTATTTTCAATGTTTTTCAACACAAGACTAAGTTTATACTGTCGATGATTTTGTTTTTGTTGTTTTAATTTAATATGTACAGGTATAATATCACCTTTAACCGGGTAAATATTATCATTTAGCAATACTAATGATTGTTGCCAATGAGTTTTTTCAGCAGCAGGTGATGTACTTAGAACAGCTGAATGTATTATATTAAAATTATTGGATGAAAAATAACAGTCGAACCAAAATGCAAATCCGGAAATAATACAATCTTCTTCAATATAGAATTCACAATATGACTTAATTTGTCGAATGTCATCATGTTTAACAGTTTTTAAATCAATTGAATAAACTAGTTGTTGATCATGTACTAATTGTTGATTTTCAATTGTTTGAATAACACATTCAGTTAACGACGAATTTGGTATATATTTCAATAATGGTGTCATATTCAAATCAAAATAATCCATCCACATTGTACGTTTTTCACAACGAACCTAAAAGCACATATATCGATGTTTAAGAACATATTCCAACCAGTGGATTGTGTCCATTACTTTATCATCGACAAACGGTGCACAATATAAATATGCATGAGAAGGAAATATTATTGAATTATCTCCTGAAGTTGTTCCATCTATATCGTCGGAGATATCAGGAGATGGTGATGGTCGAAAAAAATTATTACGAGCATAAATAATCGATTCCAACATCGATTCTAAAATATTTTAAGATAAAATTATCTCATACAGTATTATAAAATGAACTAACCGTGAAAAAGATAAAATCCCATCCATTCTGAAATGATAATATCAACATAATCATCCAATTTTACATGTTCTATCTGTTTATTAATTATTTGTACAACATCTTGTAAACAATTATATCTGACAAGTTCATTGGCTATCTTGCATATATTTGGACAAACATCGACACCATAAACTCGCTTAGCTCCAGCTTTTGCTGCAAACATTGATAAAATACCTTAAATATTTAAAATATGAAGAAATATTCTGTACGAAGCTAACAGAATTCTATTAACCTGTTCCTGAGCCGACGTCTAAAACAACCTAGAAGAAAGAGATCAGTCCATACTCGTATTCATATCTATAAAATAAGATTTTATACTTTATCTTGGAATAAATGTTTATTTTTCATGATCGCATCATAGTATGCTGATACTCGCGCCCGATCTCTTAACATTAATTCATGAATTTGAAAATTATCATAACTTTGAAAATAGATATGATCAACATCATTCGTTACACTTGATTCATGCGAATGAGATGATGAATGATCCAAATTTATCGACACTTTATTATTATTATCATCATCTTGTTCCTTAGTACTATTATTATCCATCTATAGAAAATCTAAAATAAAGAAAAGTATCATAAAGAAAAGTATTCCCATATGAATTAAAATAATTTCTTTTTCTCGCTAATCATCAATAGACATACCACTTTCACAAGGCACGAAAAAAAACACAAAGAAACGAACGTCAAAATATCAGTTAGATCATGCATAGTTTTTAAATTATTCATGTATATATATGTATATTTAAATTTTGATAATCGTTCGTAATACAAAAAACACATAGGAAATTCATAAAATACATCGAAATAATTCTCTATTTTCTGACAACATTCACAGTTAAATATAAGAATAAATGAAAGAAAAAAAAGAAACATTACTGTTTTTTGACAATTTAACTGTTATTCGCAAAAAAAACAATAAGCACATGTTCATTGTGCTCAATTGCGTGTTTAAGACTTAGAAAAAGAACACAAAACACATTTTATGTACCAAAGGTACATAAAATAAAAAAACAACGATAAAAAATATATTGCACATAAAAGTCGAAATCTGTATATTTAACAAAACTAAACAGTTGTGACTAATATTAGAAAAAAAGATAAATTTATATCAACTATACGTATACAAAACCAAGCAGAAAAAAGACGTTCAGAACGGGTAACATGGCATATGGTTTACATCAAAATGTTAAAATTGGTATTTGATTACTCTCAAGAATATCTAAAAAAACATAAATATATTTAGCAAATGGCTATTGAAATCGAAAGGTAGTGTACCATAATCTGATAAAAACGAAGAGAGTCTGATCTGACTAGTTTGGAGAGCTCATCGAGCTGTCTCTCTGCAAATTTTTGTTAGAACAACTGTCGAATAAGTTTTAATTGAGTTAGAAAAATATTAATCTCAAATAGAGAAAAATATCTGGTCTTTTTAGGGTTTTTAATAGTAAAACTTTTATAACTATTCAGAAACTCAATAAGGGCATTAACAGACATCAGATGCATGATTAGCATCAAAAATTGTCCTAAAAAAACTAGCTCTAATTCGAAAAGCTTTTAATCATCTAAGAGGTTTATCTTCCGTTTAAGTTTTTCCAACTTACCTTTTACGATTATTTGACAAGGTAGCGTGATATAAGTTAAACATGTATTCAGTTGTAAACTAATTGGTTGTTGCATTCTAGAACCTCCTCGCACCCAACTCATAGCGTTACTGAATGTACGTTCAATAAAACTGCTCGTACCATCAGTTAATTCTAAACAAATCATGTAGAAAGAGACATAAAAAAATTGATAAATTTATCATGCAAAAATTACCTTGCCGGATATCAGCCGATTCTACTTCAGGAGTTGTGACGATTGATTGCGGTTGTTTAAAATTAGTTGGCATCCAACGATTCAAACCATAACCTGAATCGATCGATCGTCGCGTATTAAACTGAACAAGTTAAAGAGAAAGAGGCGTTTATATTAGTATTGATCAATCTAATACATACGCTCTCTTCGTCAAAACTCGAAGACATTGGAGTGGTTGGTATAGAACCGGGCGTAGCAGATCCAGATTGGGTTGTTCGACATCGACTAACAGCCATCTCTGCATGTCCTTTTCCCTGAATAAAAGAATCATTTCATCAGCACATATGTAAAACAAAAAGATACTTTTACTTACGTTTGGACCGCGCATTCGAACAAATTCTACACGTCTTTTTGAATATATACCAAATGACATTCGTTGAGCAACACGCGTTGATGTTGTAGCCTTAAATAAAAAAAAAACTGAAAGAATAAAAAAGATCAAGAAAAATTATAATTATTAAATTCATTTTCTATAATAAATTCTAATTGACATTATTTCTCATCAAATATGATGTAGTACACTAATGAATTTTCTATGAAAAAATATTAGTTTTAATAAATACTTTATCTTACCCTCGTTTCATAAACTTTTTTTAACGCTTCGTATTTAATTGATCCAAGAAACAATACACGTTGTTGACTTAAAGCCTGATTTGTTGCAATTAATTCAACACAAACCATTTGACCTTCATTCACAATCATTTCACAAAATGTCTGTAACAATGAAAAATAAAAATATTAAGTAACTCTTATCCTATTTGTACTGAACGTATTAAACATACGAACATCTTCAAAATTGTCAACAGTAAAATAAATATTTGGATAAGTAATTTTTTCTTCTGTTCCTTTAGTGTCCATTTCTCGTCTACTAGGACTTGCATAAACTTTCTACAGTAAAACGAAATATGAAAAACAAATATCGAAAATATATCACACAAACATACAGTTGAAAGACGCTTCAGTATTTGTAAGTGTTTGTTACTTGTTTTTGTACAGACGGCACATGTTACCATATATTCAAACTATAAAAGATGAAACAACGTGATTTTGATAGCTGTAAACGAGAATCATTAAATTATTCTGACTTGATGTAAAACAAGATTCAAATTTGACGTTTCTTCCCAGTCGTAGTTTGTATCATTTAAATTTGGTAAACGTTTTGAATCATGATAACGAAAAACTTCCACTAAATGCTAAAAAAAGAAAATGTGAGATTTTTCTATATTTGAAAAATACATAAAAATTAACCAGTGGGTGTTGGAAATCATTGTCCATTCTTCGAGTTACATAAAATATTAGATCATCATCGACTCTTGATAGTGACAAACGTGTTGTTGGTGAAAGAAAATAAGTATCAAATATTTTTGGCCAATTTGAATTGATTTGTTGGACCAACACATAATCGTCATCTAAGGATAAACACAAATTTTTAACTTGAACATTTAGACGTGAGATAACAACTGTTTACCTTCATGTGGTCGATTTTTATTTCGCTCATTTAACATGGCCAAGAGTAAATCACGAAGTGAGGGCATCTGAAAATAAATTCTAGGTCAGTTACTCTTTTGACTAATCCAAACAAGTGAAGAATTAAGATTCGTTTTATCAATACGTTCAAGTTTATGAACTTAAACTCAGATTTATGACATTCTTGTGATGTTTTGACACTAGTGCTTAACCTAAGGTCATGTTTTATGGAGTTAAGTCAAAGTTAAGTCAAAACAAATATTCAATTTGACATACACGTGCTCAATTAAAACTTTAAGTGTTACTTAATAATGTTGACAAAATGATTCCTAGATCACGATCTTTGTATATTTCAGAAGGAAATGTTTCAATACACTGTTCTGAAATGTTACGGTAAATGTGTAACAATATCATGCTAAAAGTGTGACAATATTACGTTTTACCGTAACATTGTCACGCTTTTTGCATAACATTGATACACCATAACATTATCACACTTTTAACATGACATTGATACACATTTATCATAACATTTAATGACATAGTACCCATTAACCGTAACATTTCGGAATAGTATTATAAGATCTATATACGAAAAAAACATTGTAGACATACATACAAAATATCAGCCGTTTTTCATGTTTTTATTTGCTTAATGTTGACCTATAGAAACAGAGAACCAAACCTTTACGAAAAACAATGGATTTTATTATATTAGAGCTAAAAGAAGTCAATGTGAAAAATTATTTGGCAATTGAAATTGTAAATTAAAATTTGATTTTATTCATATTTCAAAAACATTTTGAAAACTGAATAAAAAAATAAAAAGTTTTGTGGCTGTCAGTTCCATTAAATTGGGAATTGGAGAAAGACAATATGGCGTCGTCGTCTTAAGTATTTCTTTTTTTATTTATTTTATTATCCTTCATATTTATGAGATTAGTTTTTTCTTTTTTTATGTGATATTCGTCTTCTTGTTCGGATACGCTTACTTTTTAAAATAATTTCTCCGGATGTGACCATTATAGTCTGCATGTTTTGAGTAAAGTACATATATGCTTTTGTTTCTTGTATGTAACAGCATAGCGATATGTTTCAATATAGAAGCTAAAAATAAGTAGATTGTTTTTCCTACCTCATTCTATGAACAACTCTAAATCAGATAAATTATATCAAAGTGTGATTTGTTATGCTCAATCAGTTTATGTTTTAGTCAGATATCAAGAAGAAAATTTGTTTTGAGTAATCTTATCTACTCCTATTCATCTCTATTTTAGTATTTCTAATTAATATTTAATATCTCTATTTTAGTTTTCAACAATGAATAAGTTCATCTTGACCCTTCTATGCGCCTATCTGACTCTGTGAGAGGTTTAAATATAGATAAATCTACTTTTAAAATATTTTGAAATTAATCTTCGTTGAGTAAGAGTATATCCATCTGGTAATTTCTTAATCTCAATCGGAACGTATTAAACTTTGTAGAATAATTCTTATCTTTCTTTTGAATAATATCTACATTATGCTCACTACTCTTTTTTCCCGCTTTGTAAATACGAATTATCCAGCTTTTGAAGTTCAGTTCCCCACGGTTTCATTCTTTATTTTCTAGATCTATTTTGAATCAACACAACACTTCACAATGGGTTGTGCTACTAGTGCCGATGAAAAACGACAAAAAGAGGTAAATAGAAAGAAACAACATATTAACAATATATAAAATTTCTATCATTTTTAGAAAATAATATTTTGGAATATTCATTTAGTGTAAGAAATCTTTTTGTGTGCAATTTTTGATCTATACACTAACGCTCATTGATTAGCGCTTTATTTATAAAATATCAAGAAAAGTGTATATCCACTCCTTTATCTTTTTTCAGCTAATAACATTGTTTTTGCTTTTATTTTATCAACTAGTCTTAGAAAGAGTTTTGTATTAACATTGGGATATCTTCTATGATATTTGCGTGAATGAATTTTTCTTTTTTATGGTATTTATTTACCATTGACTTCTGCTTGCTAAAAATGATCTATTCGTAGAGCACTAAATCCTTTTAGCTCTGACATACTAAAATTAATCACAATTTTTTGTATTGTATATATATAATATCATTTGTGCTTTTGTTTTCTTTTTTAGTACAGCAAAGCACTTGATCGTTTGATAAAAGAAGATGCTGAACGAGCAGCTAAAGATGTCAAACTACTTTTGCTCGGTAAGCTTCATAACATCTGATAGAAACAACGTTGCTATGTGCATCTTTGACATACTGTTATAATTCTTCGACGCAGATGAAACTTCAATATGTTCTAACTTTCATGAAAGCTTGAACGTGCTACAAATTCAAGAATTTAAGAGACTTCTTAGAGTAAGGCACACGTTTCTAGCGTTCGAAATTCTTCTTCTCTACCATAAACTATACAGTTACTTCATATAATTATAAGATGGTACTGAAAAGTCTCTTCAGACCTTCGTTCAACAACTTATTGTTCTTCTCGAGATATTTTCCTAGCAAATTTATTACCAACATTTGTTTGAGGTCACTTCAGATCGTTTTGAACCATCGTTTTGTTTTTATAGGTGCTGGTGAAAGCGGTAAGTCGACGATTGTTAAACAAATGCGTATTATCCATCAACATGGATATTCGAAAGAAGAATTTGAACAATATCGTCCTGTGGTATATTCAAATACAATACAATCACTTGGAGCCATTATAAGAGCAATGAACATGTTAAATATACAATTTTCATCACCAGAACGAGAACAAGATGCTGCTCGAGTATTAGAAGTTATTCAACGAATGAAAGATACAGAACCATTTAATTCAGAATTATTACAATCAATGGAACGATTGTGGTCAGATTCGGGTGAGTTTTATTATAAATATTTTTTAATCGATTTTAAAATGTATAATACATCTTGATGTTTTGTAGGCGTTCAACAATGTTTTTTACGTTCAAATGAATATCAATTAAATGATAGTGCCCAATATTTTCTTGATCAATTATATCGTATTGGTTCACAAGATTTTTTACCTAATGAACAAGATATATTGCGTACACGAGTTAAAACAACTGGCATTGTTGAAATTAATTTTTCATTTAAAAATTTAAATTTTCGTCTATTCGACGTTGGTGGCCAACGATCGGAACGTAAAAAATGGATACATTGTTTTGAAGATGTAACAGCAATTATATTTTGTGTTGCATTAAGTGAATACGATCAAGTTTTATATGAAGATGAATCGACGAATCGTATGCATGAATCATTGAGATTATTTGATAGTATATGCAATAATAAATGGTTTGTTTACACCGGAATTATATTGTTTTTAAATAAAAAAGATTTATTTGAAGAAAAAACAAAACGAAGTCCATTAACAATATGTTTTAGAGAATATACGGGCCCAAATGAATACGATCCAGGTTAGTACAATTATAGTAGCTTTTTAAAGATAAGATTCTATTGTGTAGCTATTTCGACCGGGGGTTTATCTGATAACTTTTTTCCAAATTTCAAGACTATAGTAATGAACCAGGTTTACGTATTTATTCGTACTATAAATAATAAATTTCATCATTATGTACCTTTTTTTTTCTATTTCAGCTGCAGAATATATTCAAGCACAATTTGTAGCTAAAAATAAATCAACTCAGAAAGAAATATATTGTACGTAAACTAAATTTTTTCAAATTTTTCTATTATTTATTTGTTACATTCATATTTTGTTTATAGGTCATCATACTTGTGCAACAGACACTCAAAATGTACAGTTTGTATTTGACGCTGTTACTGATGTTATAATTACGTTAAATTTAAGGGGGTGTGGATTGTATTAAACTTGAATGTACAAGTATAAGAAAGTTTATTTCTTCACAAAACTAATCAAAGAATTAATCTAGTCTTTATATACATATATATTTGTTTGGATAAAATGATACTTTTCTTATCTCGTATTTGAATCCAATGACTTATTTTTTTGCGACAATTTTTTTTCCTCAACATGTAAAGACAAATATAAATAAAAAAATTAATTATGATCTGTTCTCTTTTTTGTTCTTTGCCTAGATTGTTGTTATTGTGTCTTTTTGTTTGTATTTCTTTTGGCTCAAACTTCTCTTTTGTTTGACTTTTTTTTTTGCAACGTTTTTTCATTGGAATCTCTTGCACTTACATTCGAAAGGTAGACTAACGTTAAATGCTTGGCATGATCGCACATTCGCTCATAGACAATAGTTATATAGCTAGATATGTTTTCTATTATGAAAGTACGGCTTCACAAGATAAGAGAGAGCAAACTCGACTTGTAATATGATGTTTTTTTGCTATTGAGATAGATTTCTTTTTTATAGTAAATTAATTTTGAAAAATATTTTGATAATAATGTAACAGTGAGCTTGGATAGGCAAAGACGTTAAGTTAACCATATTCAACTGGTGAATACACTATAAAATTCTACGGCTAAATTCTAGTTGAATTGTATGAAAAGTTTTAACAACGCAAATAACAGATCCTCTTTTTTTTGTTCTTACAGTGAAACAAACTCTAATCCTAATTTTTTGCTTTATCTCTAAGTGAAAGTTTGTGTTTTCCCTTATTTGCAAATGCACACACACACACACACACACATACAGAATCATATACACACCTGTTATTTTTATTTTTCCGTCGTGTTGTTGTTGTTTTCTGTTTATTTTCCACACATCAGACACTAGACCAATCTCGAGCAGTACAAAAAAAGCAACAATCTTTTTGTTTCTTGTCAGATCTGACAATTTTTTAAATTCTTTCTGTTTCTTTGATGTTAACCAAAAAAATAAACCAAAGAGAGAGAAAGATCACTTTTTTTTGTTTATTACGAATATTTCTTTGCATTAAACACTAAGTCAACGTGTGTTTTTTCTCTGTTTTCATAGTTTAAATACATCAGCTGCAATTTATTACATTGAACGTGCATGTGTGTTGATCTCAATATATTTTCTCTATTAGACTATTTTTTTGGTTAGTTTTCTTTCACGCTAAATGTATGCTCCTTAACTGCTCATATTGGGCTCAAAAAATATCTAGTT